TCCTAATTCAAAATTAAAAATATCGCCAAATTTGTCACATTTTATTTTGGCGATTCTGGAAAAAGAGTCGAAATTTTTGAAGAAATGAAATTGTAGAAACTCCTGAAGCTTAAAATCAACAAAAAAGATTTTTTAGTAATTTTTGACGGTTCTCAGGCAAATATCAAAAATTTCGTACGGGGCAATATTACAAATTCGAGCTTTTGACAAAGTTTCCTAAAAATTTCCGAAAATTCTGGGAGAAATTTGATAGCCAAAATTATGAAAAAATATACGGCTGTTCGTTTTTGAAACACCCGGCTCCTAATTCAAAATTAAAAATATCGCCAAAATTTGTCACATTTTATTTTGGCGATTCTGGAAAAAGGGTCGAAATTTTTGAAGAAATGAAATTGTAGAAACTCCTGAAGCTTAAAATCACCAAAAAAGAATTTTTAGTAATTTTTGACGGTTCTCAGGCAAAGATCAAAAATTTCGTATGGGGCGATATTACAAAATCGAGCTTTTGACGAAGTTTCCTAATAATTTCCAAAAATTCTGGGAGAAATTTGATAGACAAATTTATGAAAAAATATACGGCTGTTATTTTTTTAAATACTCGGCTCCTAATTCAAAATTAAAAATATCGCCAAATTTGTCACATTTTATTTTGGCGATTCTGGAAAAAGGGTCGAAATTTTTGAAGAAATGAAATTGTAGAAAATCCTGAAGCTTAAAATCGCCAAAAAAGAATTTTTAGTAATTTTTGACGGTTCTCAGGCAAAAATCAAAAATTTCGTATGGGGCGATATTACAAAATCGAGTTTTTGACGAAGTTTCCTAAAAATTTCCAAAAATTCTGGGAGAAATTTGATAGGTAAAATTATGAAAAAATATACGGCTGCTAGTTTTTGAAACACTCGGCTCCTAATTCAAAATAAAAAATATCGCCAAATTTGTCACATTTTATTTTGGAAAAAAGTTCGAAATTTTTGAAGAAATGAAATTGTAGAAACTCCTGAAGCTTAAAATCACCAAAAAAGATTTTTTAGTAATTTTTGACAGTTCTCAGGCAAAGATCAAAAATTTCCAAAAATTCTGGGAGAAATTTGATAGACAAATTTATGAAAAAATATACGGCTGTTATTTTTTTAAATACTCGGCTCCTAATTCAAAATTAAAAATATCGCCAAATTTGTCACATTTTATTTTGCCGATTCTGGAAAAAGGGTCGAAATTTTTGAAGAAATGAAATTGTAGAAACTTCTGAAGCTTAAAATCTACAAAAAAAAATGTTTAGTAATTTTTGACGGTTTCAGGCAAAGATCAAAAATTTTGTATGGGGCGATATTACAAAATCGAATTTTTGACGAAGTTCCCTGAAATTTTCCAGAAAATTCTGGGAGAAATTTGATAGATAAAATTCCCAAAACATTCTGAGCGAAGAAAAAATGAGGTTGTAAAACCTCTGGAGGTCGAAAGCAACAAACGAGATTTTATTGGTAATTTTTGACGAAATTCCTGAAAATCCACAAAACAATTTTCGGAGTAAATTATAAGCCAAAAATTATTTTAAAAAATCGGGCTTACTCAACAATGATTATCCATAAAATAATAATCCAATGCCGATGAGGCGACTACATTTTAAAACACTCAGAGTCCATATTCAAAATTTTAAAATATCTCAAAATTTGTCACATTTCATTTTGGCAATTTTAGAAAAATTATAGGAATTTTCGACGCTCTAAAAACTTGGAAGTCGAAATGTACAGAAAAGATCCTTGTGATAATTTTTGACGGTGCTCGAGAAAAGATAAAAAAATTCATATGACAGGGTATTGGAAAATTAAGTCTTGGGCTTAGATTCCTGAAAATCCACAATGTATTCTGGGAGAAACTTGGTGGCCAAAAATTATGAAAAAAATTGTGTTTGTTCAGAAATGAAACGCCTATTACAAAAGTTAATGATCCAACGCCGATTCCGGGACTAGTTTTCAAAATACTCGGGTCCAAATTCGAAATTTTAAAATACCTCAAAAATTTTCACATTCAGTTCGGTGATTTTGGAAAAAAGGATAGGAATTTCCGGAGACATAAAACTATTAAAACTTTTGAAAATCGTAGTCTACAAAGCAGATTCTTTCGGCAATTTTTGATGGTGATCGGGAAAAGATCAAAAATTTCATATGGGTTATATGGAAAAATTGAACTTTTAGTGATGTTTCCTGAACAAACAAAAACTTCTAGGAAAAATTTGATGGCCAAAAATTATGAAAAAAAATGTGTTTATGCAGGAATGATACGCCTATCACAAAAGATAATCCACTGTCGAAGTCGGGACTAGTTTTCAAAATATTCGAGTTCAAATTCAAAATTTTAAAATATCTCAAAAATTTTCACATTTCAGTTCGGTGATTTTGGAAAAAAGGATAGGAATTTCCGAAGAAATGAAGCTATAAAAACTTCTGAAAATCGTGATTTACAAAGCAGATTCTTTCGATAATTTTTGACGGTGATCGGGAAAAGATCAAAAATTTCATATGGGATATATGGAAAAATTGAGCTTTTAGTGATGTTTCCTGAACAAACAAAAACTTCTAGGAAAAATTTGTTGGTCAAAAATTATGAAAAAAATTGTGTTTATGCAGGACTGATACGCCTATCACAAAAAATAATCCACTGCCGATGTCGGGACTAGTTTTCAAAATATTCGAGTCCAAATTCAAAATTTTGAAATACCTCAAAATTTTTTACATTTCAGTTTGGCGATTTTGGAAAAAGGATAGGAATGTTCGGAGAAATTAAACTATAAAAACTTCTGAAAATCATAATCTACAAAACAGATTCTTTCGGTAATTTTTGACGCTGATCGGGAAAAGATCAAAAATTTCATATGGGATATATGGAAAAATTGAGCTTTTAGTGAAGTTCCCTGAATAAACACAAACTTCTAGAAAACATTTGATGGCCAAAAATTATGAAAAAAATTGTGTTTATGCAGGAATGATACGCCTATCACAAAAGATAATCCAGTGCCGAGGTCAGTACTAGTTTTCAAATTACTCGAGTCCAAATTCAAAATTTTGAAATACCTCAAAATTTTTTACATTTCAGTTTGGCGATTTTGGAAAAAGGATAGGAATGTTCGGAGAAATTAAACTATAAAAACTTCTGAAAATCATAATCTACAAAACAGATTCTTTCGGTAATTTTTGACGCTGATCGGGAAAAGATCAAAAATTTCATATGGGATATATGGAAAAATTGAGCTTTTAGTGAAGTTCCCTGAATAAACACAAACTTCTAGAAAAAATTTGAAGGCCAAAAATTATTTAAAAAAATGTGTTTATGCAGGAATGATACGCATATCACAAAAGATAATCCACTGCCGAGGTCGGGACTAGTTTTCAAAATATTCGAATCCAAATTCAAATTTGAAAATATCTCAAAATTGTTCACATTTTAGTTTGGCAATTTTGGAAAAAGGATAGGAATTTTTGGAGAAATGAAGCTATAAAAAATTCAGAAAAGGTCAAAAATTTATTGTGGGGAATATGGAAAAATTCAGCTTTTAGATAAGTTTCCTGAATAAACAAAAAATTCTAGGAGAAATTTGGTGGTCAAAAGTTATGAAAAAAATCGTGTTTATGCAAGAAAAAAATATATAATCCCGATGAGGAGAATAGTTTTCAAAATACTCGAATCCAAATTTCAAAAATTTTAAAATAACACAAATTTTTATTTCGTCTTGGCGATTTTGGAAAAGAATAGGAATTTTCGGAGAAATGAAGCTATAAAAACTTCTGAAAATGGTAATCTACAAATCAGATTCTTTTAGTAATTCTTGACAGTGCTCGGGAAAAGAAGAAATTATGAAAAAAAATCGTATTTACTCAGGAATAAAACGGCTATCAAAAAAAATAATTCATTGCGAATGTGACGATCAGTTTTTGTATATAAATTCAAAATGAAAAATATCTTAAAATTGGTCGCATTTGATTTTGGCAAATCTGGAAAAAGGGTAGAGAATTTTCGAAAAAATGAACTCTTTATAAACTTCTGTAGCTCAAAATCAACAAAAGAGATTCTTTTGGTAATTTTTGACGGTGCTCAAGAAAACATCAAAAATTTCATATGACGAAGTTACCTAAAAATCCACAAAAAAATCAAGACGAAGACTGTATTGAAAATCCCGGAGCCATATATCTTTGTTAAGGACTTATTTGGAACATTCCAAATGGCATTCTTACTTATTTAATCAATTATTTTTAGTGTATTTTCTATTATTTACTACCATATTTGCAATTCTAGCGCTGTTCATGAAGCAAAAATATTTAAAAAATAGGTCTTATATACTTAGTAATAAGATATTCGTTTAAAAAGTCTAAATGAAAAGCCCATGAAAAGATACTAACAAATAAATATTGAAAAAATCGATAAACACAAATGAATATCACAAGTTTAATTTTAAACACATGCATACGCCACCAAGTGATACAAGAATACATTTGTAAAGTTTCCCACTCCTTTAAAATCAACAACCCATAGAATTATTATTTTTAAAAAATTGAAAACCACCAAACATTAAACAATTTCATTTCAAACTAAACCAATTTCCCACAGCCATTTTAACACTACCATTTCCTCACCACGCCGCCTTTTTTGCATTCACACGCCCAACAAACGCCTTCGATTCACACCGCGCATTGCAATTTCCCCAAGAATTAAATAACTTTTCAATTCTGTGATCAGTCAGCATGAAATTGACTGTGCCTTCTTAATACAGCTAATATTGAAACGTTACAGCACACACTCACAAAACGTATTCCCATCAGCCGTCCGCTAATTAATTTAAATATTTTTTCTTCGCCGCAATCACAGCAATTCTTCATTTTAATTAAAACTTATTTTGCACAACATCCTCATTTCGATGCAAATAGCAGCGAGTCTCTGGTCAATTAATTCATTCGCTTGATTAAATTAACCCGGAATTAATGCAAGTTTTATTTAACTCGCTGCAGCGACAAAAGCGGCAGTTGCGCAAGAGCTTGAGGCGAAATGGACCTGGACGACGTCCTCCCCGAAGTCGGCGAATTCGGCCGCTACCAGAAATTGGTCCTGTGGTTTATCCTGTTACCGGGGGTGTTTCCGTGCGGCTTTCACGCTTACAATCAGCTGTTCATGGCGGCGGCTCCGGACCATTGGTGCAAAGTGGACGGATTCACCGGAAAAAGCGCGAAGCTCATCAGAAACATAAGGTAAAAAATTCTTAGAAATTGTTCCCAGTGTAAAATCCGTGTTGGTGGGCTCCGGGCTAATTTAGCGATTGTAAATGAAACTCGGTAATGTTAATAATCTGGCGGAACCGTTGCCGACGCCTGGAGTAATTAATCATGTAAACAATAGCGAGATAAGATCTTTTAACACCAAATAATTTTAGTATACCCACCGCAGTACAGCTAGATGGACAAACAAGATTCAGCCAGTGCACAATGTACGATTTAAATTACACGAACACATCTTTGGAATTTTATGAATCGGTGAATTACACCACCGTGAGTATAGTTCCATGCAAACATGGATGGGTTTACGATAAGCAAGGTCATGAGAACACGATTATTACGGAGGTAGGTCTGTTGGTATTCACGTAGGATCACAAGAAATTGACGTAAACATTATTAAAAGTTCATTTAGAGATTAGTAAGCGTGACGTGAGGCACTATTGCAGTGCGGTTTAGGTTGAGAATTAATGTCGGATGTGGATTAGGTCACGCTCGATGTCGAAGTTTTGCATTACTTAACAGTGGTGGAATCGAAGAGGTGGCTAATTTATTGGGATTGTGTTAATGGAGCTTTTATTTTTAACAGTGATTTATTTTTCGCAAGAGTTCGATCTCCTAAACTCTAAACTATGCGCCCACTATTAGATTTGCATCAGTTTTGAAACAATTTATTGTTTTTTTTTAATCAAAGTTTCTTCCCATGAAAAATTTGATGACGTCATTTCCAAATATTAATAAATAAATCTCGCTTCATGTATTTGTAATTTAATCCTACATCTTCAGTATTTTAATTTTAGATATACCGGTCTACAATGAAATGTTTTCAGGCTTAGAACTCACATTATGATTTTTTTAGAAATTTTGGCAAGACACTAACTCTAATTTGGTGATTACAGTATATATCGACTAAAATTTATTTGTTCGTTGCATTCGCAAATAGTGTTCTTGAGATGCAAAATTGTTGGTACTTTTATTAATTATTTTTATTTTTTTAGAACGGTTTATACAGGATGTCTCAAAAATAATGTATGAGACAGTTTATTTTATAGGTTAAAACAAAAAAGCTCAACTGATATCCCAGAAATTAAAAAAATACAATACTGCTGTAATTAGTTTCAACATTTTTTTGAAAATTTTCAACATACGCCATTTCTAATAACCAAAATTTACTATTTTTTTAAGAAACTGGATTTGTTCAAGATTTTTTTGAGAAGAAATTAACAAAGATTGTTTTAGTAACCAGAGAAAATTAATATATTTTTTCATTTTTTCGAAAAAAATCCGTCACAAAAAAAAAATGGATGAACCTATTTAAATATGTTTTCAGATTTCTCAGAAACAATCCATCTATTTTTTTAAGTGGCGGCTCGTGATCTTTTGAAGGGGGAACTCAATTTGATGGATCAGTTAAATATGAAGATATAAAACAAGCTGTTATTATTACCAATTAATAGACGAAATTGTATGACAAAAATTTACCATGCTTGTTATGTCTGTTAAAAGTCTCTCGTTTTGCCATTAACACTTTTTTTTTATTAATAAATCGGGGGTGGTTCTCCCTAAATTTTTCACTAAAACTTATTTCAAAATATTCAACTGAATTAATTATTTTTTTTTAAATCAAACAATGTCACTCGCGCAGAATGAAAATGCAATCCTGAGTTACAGGACCCGATTTTAGCTGAAAATAGTGACTAGACGCACGGTTTCCATGGCAACGGTGTAAACAAAACGTCTAAATGAGGCATGAGTACTTGGGCAAAATATCATAAATCCAAGACACAACATCTTTAGACGTAAGGTTTGATACCTTTTATACAAATGGAGTGAAATAAAAAAATTAGTTTTGATAATTACGACATAAATTTCCGGATATTTTTTTAAATGTAATGTCCAGTTTGTTTCTAGACGATACAACTTGGGGGGGGGGTACCAGCCGCCCCTAATGTTTTTGTTATTATTATTATTATTATTATTTCAAACAAGATAAATTTAATTTCCCTAAAATTCTTCGACCAGAGTGTCTGTATTACGTATGATCGTAGAATTAAAATATTTATCCTTACTAGAAGACAATTATTCTGCTTCAGAGGCAAATAACGTTCTTTTTTTCATTTATGGGTAATAATAGTCTGTTGAAATGTGGAAACCACGAAGATTTAAAAATCAACTTTGACCAAAATTTTCAAGCTGTTCTTGTTGATAAAATACATATTTAAAACACAGATTTCAACAATATTTACAGCTTATAATGATGAAAAATGGTTTCCGAGTGATGCTATGGTCGTCGAAGTCTTTTATTACCAAGAAATGTTGAAATTATTTATCCAGAGATCGAACAATATCTAATATATTTCATTAGCGCTAAATACAGGGTGTCCCAGTTTACCTGTTTCGCTATAATATCTTAGTAATTTGAGGCAATTGAAGTTTTAAATTTAGTATGTGATAGCATACATATACAGAGTGAGTCACTAAGCACGCGCTCCTCGATATCTCATTACTTATGAGAAATAGAAAAAAAAGTTAAGATGAAAAATTATCTTCAGTTATACAGAGTGTTCTGTTTTTAAGGCGTAACACAACTTATACCAATTTAGTTTTTTCAAATCAAATAGCCTAAAAATATAGTATTTTTGTACATTTTGGTTGACCTCTTCTTGGGCTTTATAACCATAATTTTATTTTCGAAATTCCGAAGCGACGTTGCCAAGTTATTTACATTTTTTTAGCAATGGACAGGTTTACACAAGTAATCATATCATTTTGGGAAACGATAAATAAAGATACGAGTTTTATTGTGGTATAAAGAAAATTGGGTTTTAGTGTACAGTGTTTATAAAAACAAATTATAACAATATTAAAATATCGAATTTTAGTTTTTCAAATAGAACACCCTGTACTTTTTACTGGATCTTATTTTGTTTTTTTGCTCTCTTTCTTTTTTGTTAAGTATTTTCTATATTTAAAATTGATAGTTTGTGAGTTGTTACTTTTTTTAAAAGACACACCGACATATTCAAAGAGAACAAAAAACAAAAATGATGTGGAATAAAATACAGAGTGTTCTATTTGAAGAAAGTGAAATATCGATGCTTGAAAAGTTTAAAGTTTAAACTTTTTTTATAAACACTCTGTTTATCTCTCCATAAAATATTGCAAGACAGAACTTAAAAATAACAACATTACGATTTTTTGTGGACGTTTAAATTGCTAAAAAAATTGGAATAACGTGACAACGCCGCATTGGAATTTGAAAAATAAACAATGTCTATAAAGTTAAAGGAGAGCCAAATAAGAATATGCAAAAATATATAGGGTATTCTATTTAAAAAAAAAAAAACAATGTTGTGTGCATGTCTCTCTAAAAAAAAAACACTCTCTAGAGTCGAAAATAATTTTATTGTGTCACTCAAAGAGCCGTACAACTTTAGTCTCTGATTTTTTCCTATTTCTAATAATGAAATATCGAGGACTGCTTCCTTAGTGATTCACCCTTCGGTTTTCGAGAAAATGACAAACTTTTTTCTTCAAATAGAACGGAAACTAAAATTAAAAAAAAAAATTGATGTTAGTTCCGAAGAAATCGAATGCGATATAATCGTGACAATATATTGGGTGAGTCATTAAGCGCAGGCGCTCCTCGATATCAAGTTGACGACTACAAGACAAATCACTAAAATTATTTTCAAGTATACAGAGTGTTCTGTTGTTAAGGGCATGGTACAACTTGTTTTTTCAATGGAATACGCTATATATTTTTGCATATTCGGACTGATTTCTTTTTGGATTTCTTAGGTTTTTTTTTAATTCAGATGTAACGTTGCCACATTGTTCTAATTTTCTTGAATTTTTTAGCAATGGATTTGTTACAATATTTTCTGCAGAGATAAATAAAGGTACGGACGTTGTTGTCACATAAAAAAATTAATCTTAATATACAGAGTATTTATAAAATAATTAAATTGTTTAAATTTTCAAAGATCAATATTTTAGAATAGTCAACTGATTTTGCCAAGTGATAGACCCTCTACCTTTCATTTTTTTAGAGAATAAGTCATTTGCTAATATCAGTCTTATCTCAACAGATACTAGCCCCGCCCACCCACCCTTTTTTTTCTTAGAGGGATCTCATTTGCCAAAATCACTCTTTCTTAGCAGGTACTAGCCCCGCCCACCCACCCTTTATTTTCTTATAGGATATGCCATTTGTGAAAATCAGTCTTTCTTAGCAGGTAATAATCCCGCCCACCCGCCCTCTATTTTCTTAGAATGTATGTCGTTTGCCGGAATCAGTCTTATCTTAGCAACTACTAGCCCCTCCCACCCATCCTTTATTTTCTTAGTTCTATTAGTTTCCATTCTCACTTTACAAAAGAACATATCATTCGCCCCCCCCCCCCACCCACCACAGATTGATTTTGGTAAATGACGTACCCTCTAAGAAAATAACGGGTGGGTGGGAGGGGCTAGTACTCAGTCTTAGATTGTGGCAAACGACATATCCTTTAAGAATATAGAGGGCGGATGGACACGTATAGTTTTGGAAACTTCATTGTACCCTATAAAATTTTATTGGCAGTAACGAGATGGATAGTAGTACAATAACAAGAGATATCTACAAACCATAGTTGTCGCGTGCCGGTAATCCCCAGATGTTAGAAAGCAGAATAATCCAGGTCCGCACAGGGACCATCGTTACTCACAAACGAAAATGACCATTATTTTATGAGTTCAACTACCCGCTAGATGTTCTCCAACAAATTCGGGTGAAACAGTGTGATCCATAAATATTTCTTACCATTCTACTACTGTCCGTCTCGTTATTGTCAATAAAATTTTATAGGGTAGAATGAAATTTCCAAAAGTATACTTGTTAAGGTAAGATTGATTTTGGTAAATGAACAATATTAATAAGAGTACTACTTATTATGTTTTTGTTCTCTTTGCTTGTTTTTTGTTAATTATTTTCTACGATATATTTGAAAAAAGAGAACACACATAGAGTAAAATACACTAATAAACCACAGGGTGTTCTATTTGAAAAAATGAAATATTGATATTCGAAAATTGTCCCGGTTTAGATTTTTTTATGAACACGCTGTATAATAAATCAAATTTGTTGTTTCTCGATCTCTAATAATTAATTAGATATCAAATTGTAAAGGAGGACACCCGGTATATCACGTTAAAATTCAACCAAGCATTAAAATGTAAAAATGATGACAACAAATTCGTTAAATGGGAGAACTTCCTGCTTCAGTATTTTAAGAAAAAAATCACTGTTTATCAAAAAATATGAAACAACTTTTTATAAATTTGGATATTCAAAAAAATGTAATTACACAGTTTTGAAAATCTTTATTTTGGTTTTCATGGTTAAGGCAAACATTTTTACAACACGACAATTCAAAATTGCGACAATTTGAGCATATTTCTAAAATGTTAGTTTAATTTTGACACATTCCGAAAAATTGGATCTACTATTAAAAGCAAAAATAGAGGACATAAATAAGTTGGTAGCTGTAGTTACAAAAAAAATGTAGTAAAAGAGTTCCAATTGATCCACAGTTTTTGTTATTTAGTTATTACCATTTAAAAAAAATCCGTACTTGTCGTACACTTTAAAAAATATCAAAACATACATCATACTCAAAAATTAAAAACATATAATTATAAAGCCACAGTTCACAGCAGATGATAATAATATAGAGATAATAAACACGATCAAAGATAGCACCGTCAATTTCAAGATTTAAATTGATCAAAGACAAACTTCTAAAAACCCATGGTTGTCTTTGATTGTATTTTTATTGCGCTCTCGATAATGCATAAACATTTCGACGTTTCAGTGGGACTTGGTCTGTGAAAAAGACCTCTTCTCCACCATAGCCCTAGTACTATTCGGAATCGGTGGCCTAATAGGCAACTACCTCTTCGGCTACATCCAAGACGGCATAGGCCGAAAACCCTCATTCTTCATCTACCTGTTCATCCAGAGTGTCTTCGGGATGGCCACAGCTTTCGCCACTAACTTCACAGCATGGACCATTTTTCGTATGGGCGTCGGATTCACAGTACCAGCAATCCTGAGCACACCCTACGTGTTAGGTACTTTCCAACAAAACAACCCCATATTCTTCAATAAGTGTTTCAGCAATCGAAATCGTGGGTCCTCGACACCGCACCCTAGTGACAATTCTAGTAAACATTGCGTACTCTTTGGCACTGGTAGCTTTAGCCATAATCGTATGGGTCATCAGAGAGTGGCACCTTCTGGCACTTGCCACGACAGTACCATTTCTGTCACTTTTTCTCCACTGGTGGCTGCTTCCAGAGAGTCCAAGGTGGCTGCTCGCCCAAGGCCGGGTTCGCGAAGCTGAGCAAATCCTTATCCAAATGGCAAGGTTTCTATTTGGTCTTCTAGAAAGGTAACTAAGTCATTGAAATTTTTGTAGGATCAATGGAAAAAAGTTGCCATATAACTTTGTAAGTGAATTGAGACGTGAAGAGGTTCGAAGCCAAGTACCAAGTAGTTTTGGTATTAGACACTTGTTCCATTCCTCGAATTTGAGGTGGAAGACCATAATTATCACCTTCATTTGGTTCACCAATACTAGTGTTTATGTGGGGTTGTCTTACTACGCCCCTGCCCTTGGAGGCGATGAGTACCTTAACTTTTTTCTTGCTGGTGCTGTGGAGTTACCGACGTACCTTTTCCTATGGCCTGCGATGGAAAAGTGGGGACGGAGATGGACTTTGTGTGTCAGTATGGTTGTGGGGGGATCTGCTTGTCTGACAACCTTCTTGGTACAAAATGGTAATACTAATAACAATTATTATTATCATTTAATAAAATCTAAATTTAAATATTTTGCAGATTCTGTGATAACCCTAGCCCTCTACTGCGTCGGCAAAATGGGCATCTCCTCCTCCTTCGTGGTGCTGCCGCTGATGGCATCGGAGCTGTACCCCACGGTGGTGCGGGGGCTGGGCATCAGCGTCAGTTCCATGGTGGGGATGCTGGGTCCTGTGTTCATTCCGCTGGTTAATTATCTGGTGATCCCTTGGAAGTGTTTACGAGTTCGACGAGCTGTCGGTTTTGTTCCAGGGATCTGATATGCTGACTCTCCCATTGATAATTATGGGTACCATGTTGGTGATGGGTGGTGCCTGTTCCCTGCTATTGCCGGAAACCTTAAATCAGCATCTTCCGCAGACTTTGCAAGATGCTGAGAAAGCCGGCCTCGATTGTTTTGCATGCTGCACTCCTCCGCAACTGGACGTCAAGATGCAGGCGCTGCACGAAAGTCGCCTTCAATCGTGATTAAGGTGGTAAGTCACATGCACTCGACGTGAAATTAAGTGCACTGCCCCATTTCGTGTAATTTCACGGTCTTTGTAGGTACTAGTAAATGGTAGTGGCGTGTTTCAATTAGATGGCCATTATAGCGATAGTGTAGGTATGTAGAACGAATTTTATTGGCGAATTGGCAGGTCATGGACTTAGGGGCATCGAATGATTTGTGATTATGACTTTCTGGGAAGAGAAATTATATTTAATTAACAACATATATTTGACATAGTTTTCTTTACAACAATACAACATAATATTTCATAGCACTGTTTTATTTACTGCGCTTTGTTTTCCTATACACAATATTGTTGATTTTATGAGCATAACTTAAGTACCAGTAATTTTTATGTAATTTATAAACAATAATAATTTTAATAATAAAATCCTAATTTGCATGGAAGTCACAACCAAACAACCAAAGTTTTGTTCCATCACTGAAACAAAAATGACTTAATTTTTTTCCATTGGAACAGTACCCTTTGTAATATTTTTTTTTAATTTTTGGGAAATGTGTTCCCATTCTATTGGGTTATTTAAAGGGGTATAGCAAAAGTACCATAACTCGTAATCTATAAAGAATCCTCTATAAGCTAGTGTTTCATCATTTGAATATATTTTTTTTTTTGAAAAATTTTGGAAAACGTTTAGCCAATTTTCTGATTTATTTAAAGAGATTAGTAATTAATATACAGTTCTCTGTAAGCCAGCATCTTTTTTGCATTCATCTATGGTGAATTTTAACATTTTTTTGGAAAATTTTTTGACAAACTTTCTCGTTATTCCAAGAGTAATTTTTCAGATTCATAATCTATCGAGACTTCTCCATTGTATTCAACTATGATCCGTTTAAAGATTTTTTTGGAACTTTTTGAAAATTTGTTTTCCCAGTTTTCTCATTTATTTCAAAAGCCACAATAAAAATATTTTCGATTCGACATTTTTTGGAAATTATTTTCCCATTTTTTTCGATTATTGAAAAAATCAAATTTTCCTCCAAAATATTCCATTCTAATATTTTTCAAAAAATGTTTCCCATCCTTCTCGGTCTACTCTTCACATTTAAATTTGGAACTTTTTGAGAATTTGTTTTCTCAGTGTTCTCATTTATTTCAAAAACCACAAATAAAATACTTTCGATTCGACATTGTTTGGAAATTATTTTACCATTGTTTTCGATTATTGAAAAAATCAAATTATCTTCCAAAATATTCCATTCTAATATTTTTCAGAATTTTTTTTCCATCTTTCTCGGTCTACTCTTCAGCTTTAAATCTGCGGAGAATTCTCTATAAGCTAAGATCTCTTTTGTTGCTTGGAAAATTATTTTTTAATTTTCCTCAGTTATTTAAAGAGACAGCAAAAATGTCTTTAGATGACAATAATCTAAGAAAAATTATCCTTAAATTTTAGAAGTTTTTTACTTTGAATACAGTACTTTATCATTTTTTTTCAGTGTTTTTTTTTTGTTGTTATTCAAGCAAAAATGATTTCAACTTCTGCGCGTTTTTATACCGACCAACTATATTTTAATATATTTTAATTTTGTCTTAAATGTCAACTTGGCTGAAATTTTATTCATTCTCTTTTCAGCCAAAAATAAAAAGGGGTTCAAATGGTATATTAAATAATATTAATACTTGAAAGAAATATAAAACTGAACTTTTTCACAAAATTTGTGTAAATATTTTTGGATTATTCTCGTTTTAACATATTTTGAGTTATTTTCACATTTTGAAGGAGTTTATTCACAAACATATGAATTCAATTCGGATTGAGTAGAATTGCGGTTCTGCGCGCAATTCACTCTTCGCGGAAGGAATTGGACGCAAACGCTTTTTTCTTATTTTTACTTCCCGAGAGTAAACTAAGGAAGTAGTACAGTAATCGAGTTAATAAATAAATTTATAATAAAAAGTTTTTTTTAATTTCATAAAATAAGATACTCCTGCACTTGTGGTGTGAATCCGTGTCGAATTTTGACCCTAGATATCCAGAATTTTTGGACAAAATTCAAAACTGAATAACACCATTTTGTAATATAACTTTGAAACTGCAAAACCGAACGATCTGAAAACTTGTAAATATTTTAAGGTTATCGTAATGATGGTAAATCGTTAAGCAAAATTTATTCGTTTATCCCCTCCCAAAAAATTGATGACGTCATCTCAAAATTTTGCCGAATAAATCCTATCCAAAATGTGCAAAATATGACGAGTCTATACTTGTGATGCATTGAGAGTTTCAAAATTTCATATACAGAGTGATTTTATTCACTAAATCGGAAACGGCTCACTCCATTTTCCCGAAAATTTGGGAATGCAATTATGTTATCATTAGTATCTGCACCTATCCAAAGTGACATACGTGTCTTTATAAAAATGTTGATGACGTCATCACAAAATTTTGTAGAGGGAAAACTCATTTGGAACGTACGCTCAGCATGCATCTTTACATTTACTTTGACGTTACATACATATCTTTGTTTTAACTTATGAGGATTCTCAAAAAAAATAAAATTCGCATAATCAAAATTTGTAATTTTTCGGAAAAGCTGGATTTGTTTTATTGTATTTCAGGGGCGAGGGAAGTTCTGTGGAAATGACTTTGGCGCGATTTTTACCTTGAATGCAGTTCTTCATATTTTTCTCATCAATTTTTTGAAATTATTTTTTTTTTTTGTCTAATATTGAAGCAAATTGATTTCAATTTCTTCTTTAATTCTGTTTTAAAAATATATTTTAATTTTTTTGTCCAGTGTTGTTTTAAATGCCAACTTGGCTGAAATTTTCTTCGTTGTCTTCTCAACCAAAAATAAAATACAAACAACATTCATTTTCGAAAAGTATAAAAAACTGCGGTTGAACAAATTCTCCCATCTTATTTTCATAACCTAACGACATTTTTATAATAATTTTAACAATAAATAAATTCAAATTCGCAATCTGCGTACAATTTTATACAAGCCAACAGTTTTTGGCAATTGAATAAAGTCCTTTTCAACTTTTTCACAAATTTGTTTTGTTTTTTTTTTTAATTATTCTCGTTTTAACATTTTTATTTTCACATTTGGTCGATCATTAAAACAAAAATCACTTTGAAGGAGTTTATTGACACACATATGAGTACAATTCAGGTTGACTAGAATTGCGGCTCTGCGCGCAATTCGCTCTTCACGGAAGGAATTCGGGACAAATGCCTTTTTCCTATTTTATTTTTTATTATTGAAGGAAAAGTTATTCCAATTTTTTTCGTTCCTAATCTATGAAAAATTCTCAGCAAGCTAATGGTTTTTCAGGCAAATCAAATCAACTTTAATTTTTTATTTTGGAAAATTTTGAATAACGTTTACCCATTTTTCTGGCTTATTTAAGTTTCTTGTTGTGAAAAGATGGCTATATATATTAAGAAACAAAGGCAAAATATAAGCCCCGCCCACCCACCCTATCTGAATTGTGATAATTTTTTTTTAATCGTCGAGAGCCAAAGGAGCGGAATTTAATTGCAAAATTCTTATTATTTCTCTACAAGAAATTACCATGTAAGACATATTTTTGAGTATCGTGTTATTCGAAGAACACTATGTACATATATTAAGAAAAAATTATATTTTGCCTTTTTTTCGTATATACATAGTTTTCTTTGAACAACACGCTACTCAAAAATATGTTTTTAATTTCTTGTAAAGAAATAAGTATGTTGCAGTTAAGATCACGGCGAATAAAAAAATCATCACAACTGAGATAGGGCGGGGAAAAATGTAACATTTTAACCATATTTTAAGTTTTTTGTTGTGAAAAGATGGCTATATATATTAAGAAAAAAAAAGGCAAAATATAAGCCCCGCCCACCCGCCCTATCTCAATTCTGATGACTTTATTTACTCGTCATGAGCCAAGAAGGCAAAGCTTATCTGCAAAATCCTCATGTCTCTACGAGAAATTAAAAACATGTTTTCGAGTATCGTGTTCAAAGAATACTATGTATATTAAGAAAAAAATAAAACCAAAGATTAGGCCCCACCCATACTCGCCCTATTCTCAATTGTCAATTGTAATGAATTTTCCATTCGTTGTCAGATCGAGGGGCGGGGCTTAATTGCAAGATCCATATTTGTCTACAAGAGTTTACCGTTTTAAACATGTTTTAACTTTCTAAGGATAAAAAAATTCATCAAAATTGAGATGGGGTGGGTGGGCGGGGTTTATATTTTGCCGTTTTGTCTTAATATGTGCAGTATTTCTTGAACAACACGAAACTCAAAAACATGTTTTTAATTTCTTGTCAAGAAATAAATATTTTACAGTTAAGCTTGATTCACGGTGAATAAAAAAAATCATTACAATTGAGATAGGGGGGGTGGGCGGGCTTACATTTTGCCTATTTGTTTCAAAATGTGTAGGCTTTTTTCCACAACATGAAACTTAAAACATGTTTAAAATGGAAAATGTGTGCAAGGAAATATCGATTTTACAATTAGGCTCCGCCCTATAATTGCAAAATCCATATTTCCTTGCAAAATGTACCATTTTAACCATGTTTTAAGTTTCTTGTTGTGAAAAGATGGCTATATATGTTAAGAAACAGAGGCAAAATATAACTTAATACGACAAAGGTCAAATTCGCAATCTATGAAGACTTTTTTGGAAGTCAAGATTTTTTTGCATTTGTCTAGAGCCCATTTGATTTTTTTTTTAACTTATTTTCCCATTTTTGTCATTTATTTCAAAAATCACGGCAAAAATTACTTCCGATTCGTAATCTACGAAAAATTGTCAATGCCCTGTTTGATAGGAGTTTTTTTGAAAAATTTTCAAATATTTTCTCATGTCTTTCGACTATTGAAATAAAAATTACACAAATGTTCCATCAGAACAGAGTTCCTTCTAATATTTTTTACAATATTTTTGAAAAATGTTTTCCATTTTTTGGGGGTTATTTGAAAAAGTAGAGCAAACATAGCAACTTCAGACTGAAATCCTCAGTTAATGGCAAAAATTAAATGAGACCAGTAAGCTATGAAAAACCATGCTTAAGTTTATGATCAGCTACAGTATTTTATAACATTTTTCGAACGAATTTTCCTGTTTTTGCTTCCCGAGCGTAAGCTACTGGCTATTTTCATGCGGTCTCGACCTTTCATGGACCCTAGAGTACGAAAAAATAGGTCTCTCGTTGCCGTCTGTGATAATTTCTAATAGACGGATAATCTCCGAAACTACCCGACCGATTGTTGTCAAATTTTGTACGTAGGTATACTAGGAATGTCGAGTAAATGGTAAAACCCTGAGCAAAATTTGTCTACACATCGCCACTAATTAATATGTGTAGTTTATGAATCCATGTTGAGTTTTTACTCTACGCATTTTTCGAAGTTGTCCCTATTTGTTCGATTGTACTTTAGGGGCGAGGGAAGTTCCATCGAAATAACCATCGACCATTTTTTTTTATAAAAGAAGAATCTTGTGTTTTTTAGCACACTTTAAATACCGATAATTTAATAGTCCTTATGCAACAAGTGAGTAAAGCTGAAGGCGCGTGCGGAAATCCACCCAGTGAAAAAAGTAACTTTATTCACGAATTGCACAAAACTTTAACACTATTGTAATAAAAATCAAGAATTACCTACCTTTTTCAGCAAAACTACAGACTTGTTTCTTCAGCTCTAAATCATATTTTTTTAAACATTGGCCCGTGGGCTTTTCCGGCAATGGATTCAGTGTGGGTGCACGAGAAATTCTCATCGCTGTCCGAATCCATTGTACGACCACACAAATTACCACAAAACAGCAAGAAAACTAACACAAAGAACTCAAATAAAAACTAAATTTCAAAAATTTTAGAAGCATTTTAATTTTTGACAGATGTGTTGATCGGTCGTCATAGCAACGCCAGCCTTCTATGTTTTGTGTTTTAATATTTTTCGTTAAAAAAATGACACGTTATGAGACATTTTTCCTTTTAAAAGTGTGAAAAAATGAAACACTATGACATTTTTTCAAGCTTTTTTTGGTTCTTCATTTTTAAGTATTAATAGAGAAACAAGATTTAAATTATGGTAGCAGAAAATGGCAACTTATAATACACGCGTGTATAACGTGTTGCATAAACAATCAATAACATTCGGTATCTTGGACACTAGAAACATTCCACTCTTTATTTCTTATTAGTAAGGTACCGAACACCTAGCTTTTACTTTTAAACTGGAAAAAACAATACACTAATACTACATAGAAACACCTAGTCATTAATATTATATAATCACCCTCTTATCACCTTATCTGTCGTACCTCAAGTATCACTCACTATCTCCTTCCTTAACCTTAAATCCCACAAAATGTTAGCCATCGCCTTAACCCTCCTAGTGCTCGCCGCCACCCTCTACCTCCACACCCGAAAATCCACCCCCCAGAAAATCTTCAACGTCTACTCCCAACCCGGCAAATGGTTCCACCTCAAATACGCCTCCTTCCTCGTCCTCCTCTGGACACGAAGACTCGCAGCAAAACTCAGCCCCCCTCTATCCGTCAAGAAACTAGAAACCATGAAACCGTTATCCGAACACGAAAAGGTACCCCACATACTTCAAGCAACGTTTTAACGGCTCATTACCTCCAATTTTTAGGCATTCGACGCGACATTCTTCCAAGCCGTTTCCAAGAACGGCTTCTACTTTTGCGGAGGAATCGAGAGACGACACCGTGCCAAGGCTAATGGCTTGTTCTACATAGCGGTAAAATAATTGACGTCTTTTATTCCACTGAAATGATGCAAGTTGAATAGGTGCCGGAATTAGGTCTACTCGAGAGTCTAAAATTGCCGAACACGCTGCTGGACGCTGACCCCGCATCAGTACTGCTGATGAAGGAGTACAGCGCCGAGGGGATCTGCTTCACGCCCGTGGAGCCCATGAAGAAGTGGAGAGTCGCGTTTAATGGGAAAATGAGGGTTCAGGCCAGTCCGTCTAAGCTTGTTGATGTTAAATTAAGCGGGGACTGGACGTCGAGCTTACCGTATTTCTTTTTTGAAAATGATATGAGTGCTAAATGTCTTGCTAAAGCTATAGCTTGTGAGACCTGGAGCGACGACTTCTTCAAAACGTTAAGATCGTACGTAATAAATAATAATAATACTGTATAATTCGCCTATAATAAAGTAAAAACTTTCTAGGGCGCACCAAACCCACTACGAACAGATGGGTTTCTTTTCAGGCACTCTTAGTATAGATAATAAAATCTATACACTGCAGATGGACGCCTTTAGGGACCATAGTTATGGTGGGTTGATTTATTAAAGTACGTTAGTAATTAATATTCAAACGTATTCGTCAGGTTACAAGCGAGACTGGACCTTAATGCACCGGTACGTCTTCCACATGCTCTACTTAGAAAACGGTACCCGAGTGTCAATCGGTCTCGTGAGTCAGCCCGCCACCACCTCGCTCCTCCTCATGGGTTACGTCGTCCCTGCCGACAAGTCCATCCACTGCATTGAAAACTGTGATTTAGTACTCTACCAACACGGCGAAAATGGTACTCCTGGGAAAAATTACGCTTTTTGCTTCGAGACCGACAACGAAACCTACGACGCGAAAATTAACGTGATTTACGAAGCCTTCCACTTCAAAGGCAACAACACGGAAGCTAAGCTGATCGAGAGGTTCATCGAGTGCGAAGTCAACGGCGTGAAAGGGAAGGGAGTGTCGGAGTGGCACTACAACACGACGAGAACTTAAATCATGTATTAAAAATATACAATAAATTTGGGAGTGAATAAACTTTAAATTAAAGGAAACGTTTCCCTTGAGCGGTGCAAGTTGTTTGAGAGGGTTGTTGAATGAGCACCAGGGTTAAGGTCCACAAGTCCAGCGAAATAATGACTTATTTAGTTGTTCCTTGTTAAGTCAAACCAAGGGTGAGGAGTCTGCGTCCACCGCGTCGACATTGAACTTAGTATCAAAATGTGATTTTACATCACGGTTGGCCACGTTTGAGGCGGAAAGTCGAGATATGGACGCAATCTCCGGTTGTAAATTCCGGGTAGTGTATTTGATTGATGAATGAACGCTTGGTAGTCTTAATTGCATTTGTATTTAGAGGCGATTTTTGTATCAAGTCGGTTATAATTGTGCGAAAATTTGGTCTTCGTTGTGCTAGTTTCGAGTGTTTTGATCCAACACAGATCCTGTAATAACAACAAAAACAGTTTTTCTTCTTGGTAATTAAAAAAAACAATGTTATATAAGTTATAAGTTTCCAAAAACTCACCTAACAAAATCCACTATACACGGTGACAAGGGCTCGGTCTGCAGTCACCGTGATAGTGGCAACCCCGAAAACCATTTTTCGTAACATAAGAGGTCTAGAACGTCTAGCAAAAGTTCTTGTAACGCTTCATGTTGAAATGTCATCCAATATTTGTGAAAATCAACATATACAAAGTTGAAAACAAGCAAAATAAACCTAGTGAGAAGAAAAACGAAAACCTAACGATATGGAATAACAAAACAGCCTACGATACGAGTAAACTTAAATCATTGTTAAAAATAATATACCACATATAGGAACTTAAAATGGAAATCAGCGACGGAAAATTATTTTTCTTTAAACACACCCCCCACCAGGCCCCCTTTATCCATACAGTAGGTGATAATGGAGCGCCAACTCCGATCCGACGACAACAAATCGGGATTTCCCACAACAATCAACAACGACTTGGCTCTAGTGATAGACACGTTCATCCTTCTGGGGCTGGCCACGAAACCCAGAGAGTACTTGATGTCGCTCGACAGGTGCTTCTTGGCCGAGCGCACCGTCGACAGAATAATCACATTGAACTCTTGGCCTTGGAATTCTTCAACAGTGCCGACTTTCGGCACCTCGAATTCGGCTTCCTTGAAAAGGTCCATTAGCTGTCGGGTCTACAACAACAACACCAACAACAACAATAAAAAATAAAATAAAATCAAGTTAAAGTGTCCAAACCTGGGCTTTATATGGGGTTATGATCCCGACGTCAGTCGCCTTCAACCCCAACCTATACAGTTCGTTCACGTAGAAGAAAACCTGCGATGCTTCGCTCGGGTTGAACCACGACGGCGAATCTTCTGCTTGGAAGTTTTCGCCGAAGACGCCGTGGAACACGACAGAAGCGACTTTCCCTTCCGGAGTCCTGGGTAAGATTTCTTGGACTTGCTGGAGGATGGACGCTTCTTTGCTGTCTGTTTCTGAAATCTGCGACCCGAATAAAAACTAATTCCTCGTGACTGAACAACTTACCGTTGGTTTTAAGTCGTCGTTGTAAAATAGCACGCTTGGTAGTTTTAGCAAGTCGGGCAGTGAGCGGTAGTTGTAGATGAGTTTTGTTATGAGTCGCGGGTCGTAGCCGCACGTGTTTGGAAAACCTTGGGAGTCTCGAATGTACGGAAATCTGCTAGTCATGCGCTCTAGGAATGATTCTTCTAGACCGTAGTCGCTAGCGAGGTGCGACATTATGACTGGACCCAGCTGCATGGGGTCACCTGAGATATAATTTTTGTATAATTACCTTAAAGAAAACTCGTGATGTACACACGTACCTGCTAATACCGCTTGTCCATTTGAAGTGTCCAAAAATGCAAGGGGTATCAAAACGCTAGGTTCTGACGTCTGGCCGGCTTCGTCCACAATAATGTGGGAAAAGTGTCCCTTGGAGAAACCCATTGAATACAGTAAACCTGCACTTGAGCATGTGCAAACTGTGATTCGGTGTCTCCCTAATACTGACGAGTTATACCCTAAAAAAAAAAATACGTGTGCAAAATTTCTTATTCTTCATACACTATTCTGATTTACTAATAAAATTGTATAGCCTATTACTGTTTAATGCTCGAACGACCTCTTGTGTAAAGATCCTTATCTATGGACAACACACTAGTGTTGGAAAAATCGAATTAAAAAAAAAAATAAAAAATCAGTGATTTTTAAAATTGATTTAGTTTTTCAATTACTGGGAGTTATCACTCAAAAAGCAGCAAAACAATCAAAAGTAACGAGTTTTAATTATGTTTAATCACACTTTTTCAAAAAATAATGAAACTTCATTTTGCCAATTTTATTTTTTTCTTGATATTTAGGCGGATTCATAGACCACAAATTTAGGATTGTTAAAAAATTCAAACACGATTTACTATGCAACATTTTTAGGTGACATTTAAATGTTGGTGAGGATAATTAAGACAAAATTTCGCACGATATTCCTAAATTATAAATAAAACTGCGTTTAAAAAGATCGTAATATTGATATTTTCGTAATTTGAAAAGAAAATAAAAAAACAAGAATGTTGTACATAAGATTATTTAAATCGGGCGATCTCATTAATTATTAGAAACAGAAAAAAGTCAGAGGCCAACGTTGTTCCTTGAGGACTATACTCTAAAATCGTTTTTAACTATACAGATTGTTTTATTTTTAAGGTGTAAGACACAACTTAATTTTATTAAATGAAACACCCTATATACCTTTACATATTTTGATTGACAGCTTTTTAGGCTTCACAACCACAGTGGACAGATATAGAAAGGCACGTCTTTGTTGTGGTTTAATTGAAATTAAAATTTCATATACAGGGTGTTTATAAAAAATGTTTTATTTATTACAATTTTCAAATATCGATAAATATATTTCAGTTTTTTCAAATAGAACAGCCTATATTTTATTACTGCATCTTATTCTATTTTTTGTTCTCTTCCTTTTTTGCTGAGTATTTTCTATATTTAAAGTTGATAGTTATTAAAAGAAATATTAGAGAAAGAAGAGGACAAAAAATATAGTAAAATGTAGTAATCAAATAGTCTATTACTGGAAAAAACTGGAATATCAATATTTGAAAATTGTAACGTTTTATTTTTTTTTATAAACACTCTGTATATTAAAATGTGATTTTGTTGTTACCACAACAAACGAGTACTTTTATTTTATTTCTTAAAAAAACTTTCATTTAATCTAGCATTACATATTTACATTTTGTTTATTTCAGCTTATAGGGGTTCTATAAATAAAATATAAAATTCGCAAAATCAAATTTTATAATTTTTCGAAAATACTACTATGACCAATTTTTTTTATTATGCGACGTTGAAAATTTCAATTTTTTAAATTTTAGTGTACTCGATTTTTTTATTTTTCAGTTTCTCGATTATTAATATTTCACTTCATAAATCAAAATTTTTGATTTTTTCGATTTTTAAAATTTTCAATTTTGGAATTTTTCTACTTTTGAATTTCACATTTCTTTAATAATAATAATATTAATAATGTTGACAATAATAATAAGCTTTATTCCAACATTTCTTTTCTTCTGTTTTACGATTTTTGCAATTTTTTTATTTTTATATAAGTATTATATTTTTAATTTTTCACTTTTTCGATTTCTCAGTTTTGCGATTTTGCAATTTTTCAATTTTACAATTTTTCGAGTTTTCAATTATGCATTAGATATTTTTAATTTTCAATGTTTTCAAACTCCCGATTTTTTGTGTTCCGCAATTTTCAATTTGTCGCTTGTTTCATTCGTCGATTTGCAATTTCTGGTCTTTCATCTCGCTGATATCCAGATCTCAGATTTGTTGTGGATTTTTAAAAACTTCCCTAATACCTCACCATTTAGACCTCCAAAAGTCATTTTCTGCTTTATTTCTTCATTTCTAAATCTATTTCTTCAGAATAGTCAAAATTTGTAATAAAGGCAGTTTTTGGGATTTCTCAAAATTTCACTTTGAAAAGTCTTGGTTCCAAATCACCAACAAGCTGCATTTTTCGATTCAGCCCCTCAAGGTCTATATCCCTATACTTTCAATAATCGAGCAAGTGGAAAATTGCAAAATTGTAAAATTAAAAATCGAGAAATTGAAAAAAAAAATTAAAAACTGAAAAACTAAAAGTTGAGAAATTGAAAAATTAAAAATCTGGAAATTCAAACATTAAAATCGAGAGATTGAGACGTTGAAAGACTGCAAAAATATAAAATTGAAAAACTGAGAAACAGTAAACTGAAAAATTTAAGAAACGAAAAATTGAAAAGTGCAGAAATTAAAAAATCGAAACTGTGGAATCGAAAAATTGAAAAATCGAAACATTTAAAAATAGTTTATTTTGTTACGAGATTTTCTTAATCCCAAAAAATTATACATCGTAATTCTAAAGGGCATTTATGAGTCCAAGTAAAGCATTTTTTATAATTCATAATTCTTCACAGACAATTCTGGGGCAGTATTTATCCCAAGTAAAAAAATTATCCGAAAATTTTATAACGAAAAAAGCACGACGCGAGTTTTTACGCGTTAAAAAGAGAACACTCTGTATAGTTCAAAATAATTTTAAAGTATAGTCCTCAAAGAATCGTCACTTTGGTCTTTGACTTTTTCTTATATTTTTTAATAATTAATGAGATATCGAGGACCGCGCCCTTAATGACTCATCCTATATAATTTACGATTTTATTTTTTATCTTCCAAGTCATAAAATTTCACTATTATTAAAAAAAATAGCAGAAATGCAGACAATCTAACAAATCCAGTATTTTAGAAAAAAAAATGATAATACTAGTCACAGTGAGGACAAAAAAAAAAAAAAACAAATGACCTTCATGTTGTAAACACAGCGCTCAAACTAACTGAGGTATTAGACAATTTGACTTTTTTGCCACAATCTGGATGTCAAACGTAAAAAATCACGGTGGATTCATAAACCACAAGTACAGAAGCTCTTGTACTTTTATTTTATAAAATTTAAATAGTACTTACCATGCAAAATGTTGAGGGAATATTATCAAATTAGTGAGGATGATTAGTTAAATGTTTTTTGGCTAATAAAAATCTACACAGATGACAAATAGGCAAACATACGATAAATGAACAGGCAAACGAAAACGGAAGACATATTTTTCATGCTCTAGGGGCCATGGAACGTCGAGAAATCAATAAAGTAGCCAGGACGAACCCTGAAGAAAAAGGCAAAAAAGGATGTAAACTCAACTAAATTTATTGTGTATTGCAGCAGATTCGCTCGTATTCACTGTTTGACGACCACCGAGCTTGGACCAAGGATCTGTAATTTTTTTTTTTCAATCTAATTTCATTTTTCACGGGACCAGAACGCCACTCACAATGTCAAAATTAAAATAATTTGAAATCAAGGGTAAAACATGGAAACAAACAGATCCAAAATGGGAAAAAAACAATTTAAAAGTCAGGAATAAAAAAGCGGCCAATAAAAATACGAGACAACTTAGTACTCTAAACAAATTACTGCAGGTTAAAAAACTTTCACAAAACGAATAAAAATTACTCTACCAAATCCCCATTTTTATGGCATTTTTAAATACTCCATAACATCCCAAATCTTTTGTCAGTGACGACAAATTTATTTTTGAAAGGATGAGAACTCCGTACCACAAAATCAAAAAAAAAATTAAACGTGACCAATTTTACAATTGTAACTTGGGTAAGAAATACACAAAGTGAAACAATACTGCATATTTGTAAAGTGGTATACAAGAAAAAAATAACAAAAAGGACCAAAAATCAATATCAAAAGATCAAAAAAAAGCTACAATAATAGAGCACCTAGCTTATTACTAATATATTATAAATACATACATAAATAAATTACTTTTTTAAAAACATAAGAAAGAAAGAAAAAGAGAAAATAGTTCCAATGATTGAATACCGATATTCATTCATTTAGGATTAAAGTATCCGGAGTTACCGGAAAAAGTAGACACCTAGAACATTCCCGTTAGTATTTTGACAACTGTTGGTGATGTTTCCTGGAGGAATTAGACACCTACTACATTTCACCTATATACCGGGTGTCTGGAAAACAGCGGATTAACTCTTCAGTACGTTATATACGGGGGTTTCGGGCAACCCAAAAGAATAATAAAAAAGTAAAATTGGGAACACTGCACGCACCTAATGCGAGAATAAAAACAACTTGCTATTTTTCATTAATAAATAAACCAAAAAAAAAAAAAAACATTTAATAAGACTAGAGAAAATGTTCAAAATTCCAGCCTTGTGCATGTAAGTAGACTAGCATTGTTTCCAAATTTTGATCATTGTCGCTGCTAAAATAAGACTGATTTTGGCAAATGAGATTTCTCTAAGAAAATAAAGGGCGGGTGGGCGGTGTTATTGATAAAATAAGATCGATTTTGGCAAATGACATACTCGCTAAGAAAACAGAGGATGGGCGGGCGGGGCTAGTACTTGCTAAGGTAAGAGTGATTCTGGTAGATGAGATACTCTCTAAGGAAGCAAAGGGCGGGTGGGCGGGCCTAGTACTTGCTAAGATAAGAGTGATTTTTGCAGATGAGATAACCTCTAAGAAAAGAGAGGGCGGGTGGGCGGGCCTAGTACCTGCCAGGATAAAATTGATTTTGGCAAAAAAAAATAATGAAAAAAACGAATATTTCACTGTAGATACTCTTTTGACATATTCTAGGGAACAGTTGGAATTTAAATGGGGGCGAACCACATTACACAAAATCTGAAAAATCGAATAATCGAGAAATCAAAACATCAAGGAAAACAAAAAAATTAACGGAAAATCTAGAACTTAAAAATTGAAAAATTAAAATATCTATCGAAAAATTGAAAAACCGAGAATTCGAAACATCAAAAAATAGAAAAGTTGAAGAACCGAAACATTGCAAAATCTCAGAACTGAAATACTGAAAAACTGAAAAATGGAAGGAAAATTGAAAAATCGAAAAAGTGAAGAAATTCAAAACTGAAATCTTGAAAAACTGAAAAATGGAAAGAAAATTGAAGAATCGGAAAAGTGAAAAAATCCAAAACTGAAACATTGAAAAATCCAGAAATCGAAAAATTGAAAACACAATATCAAAAATTTGAAAAATTGAAGAAACGAAATATTGCAAAATTCCAAAGTTGAAATATTGAAAAACCTAAAAATGGAAGGAAAATTAAAGAATCGAAACAGTGAAAAAATCCCAAACTGAAACATTGAAAAATTGAGAAATGGAAAAATGAGAAAATCAAAAAAAATTGGTCTAAAGAGTTTAGACAGTACTTCCCTCGCTATCGGAAACGTGACGACTGCATGCCTATTATGTTTTTTTTTTCACATTAGATCTCAAAGCATTCGGTTTTGTAGTTAAATCAATAAAATAAATTTGCGCATTCATTAAATTTTTTGAGTCACCCTGTATATCCGAATCCCAAAAATATTAATGGAATGATAAATTACAAGAAGAGATATTTTGTAAATTTAGATAGGATTTATTCAGCAAAATTTTGAGATAACGTCATGAATTTTTTAGAGGGGATAAGTAAATATATTGTGATTAAAATGGTCTTGGTTTAATAACAAAAAAATATTGTTCGTCTATAAAACAAGCTCGTCTCAGACAAAGTATTCGAAAAAAAATATGTCGTAAAAAAATTTACGTACGCGATTATGGCTTCAATATTTTTTAGAAAATCCTGTCATGGATGTAGAAACATTTGTGACAGCCAAAGAGGTTTTTTTGAGAAAATTATCTTTGAATTTAGACCAAACTGAAATAGACACTAGGCAACAGGCACATTTGGGCAAAAGAAAGAGAAATTAGGGTTACGGCTTCAAATTTTGGATGTATTTACAAACTTAGACCGACTAAAGCAATAGCTAAAACTGTGGAGTCTCTGTAGTACAGCACATTTAGAGGTAATAGTCATACATACTATGGACAGCAAAGTGAGGAAAAAGCTGTCAAGTGTTTTGAAATAAATAAAAATATAAAAACTGAACGGTGTGGCTTGTTTATTTCAAAACAATTTCCTTACTTGGCTGCTAGTCCAGACAGGGTTCTAGAGGATAGGAGTGCATTAGTCGAAATTAAATGCCCTTGAAAATCGCAAGATTTGTCTCCCGAAGAAGCGGTTAGAAGAAAAAATAATCAAATTTTGTACATTGACAAACAGAGAATTGAAACTAAAAAAAAATCATGATTACTATTTTCAAGTCCAGGGACAAATGCTTGTTACGGGTATTTCACAAGTTTATTTTGTTGTATGGACACCCAAAGGAATAAATATAGAAAAAATTTATAAAGACGAAGAAATATATGTAAAAACTTGGCAGATTTTACTTTGGCGCATTATTGCCCGAAATAATTGATTCAAGAAGAAAAGATTTTTAAATAAATAAAATTTGTTTCTATTTTTTTATGTACTTTAATAATTTATTAGGAGTACATTTTTCATCACCAAGACTTGCATATTTTTATTATAAATATCTTTTGAAAATGATCTCTCGGCAAATGAAAACATATACGAGCACTTTTTTCGAGTAAACAATGAAGGGAGAAGTTACTGGGCGTAGGGCTTTTTTAAAACACCTCCTTTCTGGGATAAGTAGTATATACACTTAGCTACTTATACGTGTTAAACAAAAGCTGTATTTTATATATTTTTTATGATTATTATAAATATGTTTATTAGTTTTATTAATTAAGAAAGCAAAATATATATTAACAATAATATTACAATGAATTTTTAGTAATCATGTGTTTTGAATTCAGGATCCTGAGTGGACTAAAAATATTATAGTTCCCCAGTTTTAATTCGGTTTTATGATATAGTACCTCATTGCGTAAAAATGTTAATTTCCTTAACAATAGATTACTACGGCCGGTCCTGGCGGCTTGTTATAAAACTGAGTTCCTTGCCATAAATTAGTAAAATCAGCCGAGAACTCTAACAATTAGCCTATGGTAGAGCAGGCGATAAGGTTTTACCTGAAAGTCGTTTCCGTAAATTTTAGTGGCGCTCCTATCGGCAAAGTACTGAACTAACTGCTCAAATTCTGTCGAATTGATACCCATTTTTTTCAATAATTGTTAGTTTCTGTTAAAAACTCTGCTAACCAATAGATCATTCATTTTCCTCTGATATTTCTGTTAAAATTATTCGACGTATTTTGCATTAATTTGTGGTATATTTTGATTTTAATAAACACATTATTATTTAAACAAATTGTACCACTAACAAACATTTAATGACTCTGCGACCTGTAAAAAGTGAAGTTTTATCCATATGCTAAATTTTCAAGCGATTCTATGATGGTTATGACTCAAAAAACTTGAAAAGAAAACATACAATGGTGCTTTTTTACGGTATTTCTCAGCCATATTTTTTTAGTTGATTGAACTGGTCTCTGCGCTCTAGAATATGAAAAAAGCTGCAGTTTGATGTATGATACATCTATATTAATATCATTTTTTTATACAAAAAACCAAAAAAATATTATACCTCGTCTAGCGAGTCCCCTTAAAGCCGTATTAACAAAAAAATAAAAAATAAAATGAACCTTACCTAACACAAGTCCATTGGGCATCACCACCGGGCTGGAGCTCTCCGTCCCCTCCCTCTCAATATTAGCCGTGGCCGTGAACGGTGCCAACCTCGCGGCAACATTAGACACCGCCGACAACGCCACCAACCTGATCAAATCCCCAGGTTTCAAAACCCCCGAATCGATCAACCTCAACGCCAGCAAATCCGCGGCGCTATTGGACGGCGCCGACAGCAGCACCCTCGAGTGCGGCATCAGCCTCAAAATCTGCAGCACCGTCTCCACAATCGTCACCGTCTTCCCCGTCCCCGGCGGCCCGAAAATAATATACGGCAGCGGCCGGCACACCCCCAGCAAAATATTCCTCACAGCCTCTTTCTGGTAAAAGTTCAAGCACCTATTGTACCACTCCAGTTTCCGCACCGGGAGATTCTCCACCCCGTTCTCGTTAAACCTCTGTATCTTCTCCAGCAAGCTCTGCTTGCCTATGACGTTCCGCGGCGGCTGCGCCTCCACCAGGTCCAAGTCGGTCAAAGAATCCACGTAGTTGTCGAAGACGAACTCCACCTGCGGGTCCTGCTCGACGATCTTCGTCGGGAACAGCCAGTCCTTGCCCAGGTTCTTGATGGCGAGGTTCACCGCGAAGTGCTCGCGCCGGTACGTGGTCCGGGAGGCCACCAGGTACACGGAGTAGTCTTCTCCGTCGTAGGCGTCGTGGAAGATTTGGGAGAATTTTATGAAGGCGTGGTTTTTGCCGGTTTTGTGGATGACGCCTTCGTAGTCCGGGCTAGTGGGGTCGGTTAGGCTTCGCGCGATCACGCGGTCGCCGGAGATCACCGAGGGGCGTCGTTCGGCGAGGTTCTCGATTTCCAGGAGGAGGTATTCGCCGTTTTTGATGAAGCAGGCGCGCTCTTGGTCGTAGTTTTGCATCTCGATCATCATGTGGATCTCGTCGAGGTGGAGGAGGGTGTGGAATTTGTCCTCGAAGTTCATGTAGTTCAAGGCGGTTACGAGGCAGGGTTTGGACCTCTCGAGTTCGGTTTTGAGGAAGTTGTTGGTGGATGGGTACTGGTGGTGGGTTATTAGGTTCAAGAGGCGCTCGGGGACGCCGAAGTCGGGCATGCATAAGGGCACGAAGCGTGCGGAGTAGTGGAGTTTCTGGCCCTTTATTACCTGTCAAGAATTCGTAGCGTTAGTAACAATAAAACTAGTGAAAAAAAATATATATTAATTTTTTTTTTCCAAATTTGTATGTAATGTATGTTGTGAACTTGAGTACTTTTGTATAAAGGAAGTAGACTATCTCAGGTTAATGCAAATATTAAATCACAAATTTTAAAAATAACAAAAAAATCGTGGGTACCATTCCAAAGTTCTCAATTCAAAATTAAAAAGAATGACTCGGCAGCGAGGTATAGACTTCTCCGCCTCCTCTTTGAGGGTTTCCATAATCCCATAAACACAATAAAGTAGACTAGTAAATAATGTCAAATCTACAATTTTGCTGAGCAGATTAAATTCAATTAAATAAATTATTACAAAAATACAATTTTATTATTATTTGTCAATATAAAATCCAACTTCGTTTCAGAGTTAACAAAATCAGTGATCAAATCGGAATAGGGGTGGGTGGGCGGGGCCACTCTCAACATTTTTTTTTAATCTTAAATTAATTAATTCTCAAATTTAAAGGGGAGTTATCGCAAAATCGAATGTTTGGCAAAGTTGTCTAAAAAAGCAAAGAGAAATAAATTTAGATAGATTTCAATCATATAAATCGAAAAAACTTAGGATGTTGATAATCCCGAATTAAGAGTTTTGATATATTCGGTTTCAAATTGACTTTTTCAAAAACCCGAAAATTACCGTATTTTATTTTGGCGATTCTGAAAAAATCGTAGAAAATTTGAAAAATAAAGCCGAAAACAAATTCTGGAATTTCTACATGAACAAGCAATAGCCCCGCCCACCCGCCCTCTATTTTCTTAGGAAGCAGATCATTTGCTAAAATCAGTCTTATCTTAACAAGACCTAGAGCCGTCCACCCACCCTTTTCGTATTCTAACGACTAATTTTATTTCTTAGAATTAGTTATTTTCGAAAATATTCGGTTTCAAATTACCATTTTCAAAAAAGCCATAAAAAAAAACGTATTTTATTTTGGCGATTGTAAAAAAATCCTAGGAAATTTGAAAAATAAAGCCGAAAATAAATTCTGGAAAAATATAGAAAAATAGCATCTAAATATTTTGATAATTTTTGTTGGTGTTCGGGAAAAGCTCAGTTAAAAATAGAGCTTTCGGTAAAGTTGTATATTGAAAATTCGAAAAATTGGAAATTGGCATATTTTTTTTAGCGACTCAAAAAGAATGGTAGGAATGTAGCTAAAAACAACTCTCAGAGTTCGGAATCAATAATAACATCTCTTTTGAAAAGTTTCGAAAATGCTTGAAAAAAGTCAAAAATTTCAAGAAGCGGTTATGGAAAAATTGAACTTTTGGCGAAGTTGCATTAAAATACACAAACAAAAATAAATTGAGATAGATTTCGACCATTTAAATCGAAAAAACATAGGCTGTTGATGGTCCCCAATTAAGAGTTTAGATATATTCGGTTTCAAATTGACTTATTCAAAAAACACAGAAATTACCGGATTTTATTTTGGCGATTCTGAAAAAATCCTAGGAAATTTGAAAAATAAATCCGAAAACAAGTTCTGGAATTTGAGATCAAAAATAACATTTAAATATTTTGGTAATTTTTTTTAGGTGGTCGGGAAAAGCTCCGTCAAAAATAGAGCTTTCGGCAAAGTTGTATATTGAAAATTCGAAAAATTGGCACATTTTATTTTAGCAACTCTGAAAGAATGGTAGGAATGTAGCAAAAAACAACTTTCAGAGTTCAAAATCAATAACATCGCTTTTCATAATTTTCAAAAATGCTTGAAAAAAGTCAAAAATTTCAAGAAGTGGTTATGGAAAAATTGAACTTTTGGCGAAGTTGCATAAAAATACACAAACAAAAAATAAATTGAGATAGATTTCGACCATTTAAATCGAAAAACCATAGGCTGTTGATGGTCCCCAATTAAGGGTTTAGATATATTCGGTTTCAAATTGACTTTTTCAAAAAACACAGAAATTGCCGGATTTTATTTTGGCGATTCTGAAAAAATCCTAGGAAATTTGAAAAATAAAGCCGAAAACAAGTTCTGGAATTTGAGATCTAAAATAACATTTAAATATTTTGGTAATTTTTTTAGGTGGTCGGGAAAAGCTCCGTCAAAAATAGAGCTTTCGGCAAAGTTGTATATTGAAAATTCGAAAAATCGGGACATTTTATTTTAGCAACTCAGAAAGAATGGTAGGAATGTAGCTAAAAACAACTTTCAGAGTTCAAAATCAATAACATCCCTTTTCATAATTTTCGAAAATGCTTGAAAAGTCAAAAATTTCAAGAAGCGGTTATGGAAAAATTGAACTTTTGGCGAAGTTGCATTCAAATACACAAACAATAAATAAATTGAGATAGATTTCGACCATTTAAATCGAAAAAACATAGACTGTTAATGGTCCCCAATTAAGAGTTTAGATATATTCGGTTTCAAATTGACTTTTTCAAAAAACACAGAAATTACCGGATTTTATTTTGGCGATTCTGAAAAAATCCTAGGAAATTTGAAAAATAAAGCCGAAAACAAGTTCTGGAATTTGAGATCAAAAATAACATTTAAATATTTTGGTAATTTTTTTAGGTGATCGGGAAAAGCTCCGTTAAAAATAGAGCTTTCGGCAAAGTTGTATATTGAAAATTCGAAAAATCGAGACATTTTATTTTAGCAACTCAGAAAGAATGGTTGGAATGTAGCTAAAAACAACTTTCACAGTTCAAAATCAATAACATCCCTTTTCATAATTTTCGAAAATGCTTGAAAAAAGTCAAAAATTTCAAGAAGCGGTTATGGAAAAATTGAACTTTTGGCAAAGTTGCATTAAAATACACAAACAAAAAATAAATTGAGGTAGATTTCGACCATTTAAATCGAAAAAACACAGGCTGTTAATGGTCCCCAATTAAGAGTTTAGATATATTCGGTTTAAAATTGACTTTTTCAAAAAACACAGAAATTATCGGACTTTATTTTGGCGATTCTGAAAAAATCCTAGGAAATTTGAAAAATAAAGCCGAAAACAAGTTCTGGAATTTGAGATCAAAAATAACATCTAGATATTTTGGTAATTTTTTTAGGTGGTCGGGAAAAGCTCCGTCAAAAACTTTGGTTGTACGATTTGCCATAAAATTTGGTTATTTCAGAACAAAAAAATCAGAGAATAGGTGGGTAGGTGGGGCTAATTTTAACTTTAATCTTCAGTTTTCAATAAGCAAGCAGTGACTAAACTCCTAATATTGTTCCGTCTTACCTTAGCAAGTCCTAGCCCCGCCCACCCGCCCCCTATTTTCTTAGAGGGTATGTCATTTGTCCAAATCAGTCTTATCTTGGCAAGTACATACTAAATTTTGGTAATTTTCGAAAATGCTTGAAAAAAAGTAAAAAATTTGAAGGGGGGTTATGGAAAAATTGAACTTTCGGTGAAATTGTCTCAAAATACAGAAAGAAAAATAAACCGATACAAATTTCGAATAACTAAATCCAAAAAACTTAGCCTGGTGATGATCCCGAATTAAGATTTTCGAAATATTCGATTTCAAATTGACATTATCAAAAAATCCACAAAAAATTACGTATTTTATTTTGGCGATTCTGAAAACAATCGTAGAAGTTTTGAAAAACTGAAGCCAATAACAAATACTAGAGATCCAAATCAAAAATAGCATTTATTTTGGTAATTTTCGAAGATGTTCGGAAAAAGGTCCAAGTCAAAAATAGAGCTTTCGGTAAAGTTTTCTAAAAATCCGCAAAAAATTCTGGGATGTAGATTTCGACAAACTGAATCGAAAAACACAACTTGTTGATGGTTCCCGACAGAAATTTTGGAAATATTAAATAATATTTAAGTTAACACTTTTGAAAATTCGAAAAATTGGCATACTTTATTTTAACGAGTCAGGAACGATGATGGAATATAGGTGAAAATAATGTTTAGAGTTCCAAATCAAAAATAACATCTCTTTTGATAATTTTGGAAAGTGCTTGAAAAAAAGGAAAAAATTTCAGGGGGTTACGGAAAAATTAAACTTTCGGTGAAGTTGTCTATAAATACAGAAAAAAATAAACCGAGACAAATTTCGACTAACTAAATCCAAAAAACTTTGCCTGGTGATGATCCGGAATTAAGATTTTCGAAATATTCGATTTCAAATTGACATTTTCAAAAAAATCCACAAAAAATTACGTATTTTATTTTGGCGATTCTGAAAACAATCGTAGAAGTTTTGAAAAACAAATACTAGAGTTCCAAATCAAAAATAGCATTTATTTTGGTAATTTTCGAAGATGTTCGGGAAAAGGTCAAAGTCAAAAATAAAGCTTTCGGCAAAGTTTTCTAAAAATCCGCAAAAAATTCTGAGATGTAGATTTCGACAAACTGAATCGAAAAACACAACTTGTTGATGGCTCCCGACAGAAATTTTGGAAATATTAAATAATATTAAAGTTAAAATTTTTGAAAATTCGAAAAATTGGCATATTCTATTTTAACGAGTCAGAAACAATGAAGGAATGTTGGTGAAAACAATTTTTAGAATTCCAAATCAAAAATAACATCTCTTTCGATAATTTTCGAAAATGTTTGAAAAAAAGTAAAAAATTTCAGGGGGTTACGGAAAAATTAAACTTTGGGTGAAGTTGTCCAAAAATACAGAAAAAAATAAACCGAGACAAAGTTCGACTAACTAAATCCAAAAAACTTGGCCCGGTGATGATCCCAAATTAAGATTTTCGAAATATTCGATTTCAAATTGACGTTTTCAAAAAATCCACACAAAATTAAGTATTTTATTTTGGCGATTCTGAAAACAATCGTAGAAGTTTTGAAGAAATGAGGCAATAACAAATACTAGAGATCCAAATCAAAAATAGCATTTATTTTGGTAATTTTCGAAGATGTTCTGGAAAAGCTCAAAGTCAAAAATAGAGCTTTCGGCAAAGTTTCCTAAAAATCGCAAAAAATTCTAGGATGTAGATTTCGACAAACTGAATCGAAAAACACAACTTGTTGATGGCTCCCGACAGAAATTTTGGAAATATTAAATAATATTAAAGTTAAAACTTTTGAAAATTCGAAATATTGGCATATTTTATTTTAACGAATCAGGAACAATGACGGAATGTAGGTGAAAACAATTTTTACAGTTCCAAATCAAAAATAACATCTCTTTTGATAATTTTCGAAAATGCTTGAAAAAAAGTAAAAAATGTCAGGGGGTCACGGAAAAATTAAACTTTCGGTGAAGTTGTCTAAAAATACAGAAAAAAAATAATAAACCGAGACAAATTTCGACTCACTAAATCCAAAAAAATTAGTCTGGTGATGATCCCGAATTAAGATTTTCGAAATATTCGATTTCAAATTGACATTTTCAAAAAATCCACAAAAAATTACGTATTTTATTTTGGCGATTCTGAAAATAATCTTAGAAGTTTTGAAAAAATGAGCCAGTAACAAATACTAGAGATCCAAACCAAAAATAGCATTTATTTTGGTAATTTTCGAGGATGTTCGTGAAAAGATCAAAGTCAAAAATAGAGCTTTCGGCAAAATTTTTTAAAAATCCGCAAAAAATTCTGGGATGTAGATTTCGACAAACTGAATCGAAAAACACAACTTGTTGATGGTTCCCGACAGAACTTTTGGAAATATTAAATAATATTAAAGTTAAAACTTTTGAAAATTCGAAAAATTGGCATATTTTATTTTAACGAGTCAGGAACAATGAAGGAATGTAGGTGAAAACAATTTTTAGAGTTCCAAATCAAAAATAACATGTCTTTTAATAATTTTCGAAAATGCTTGAAAAAAAGTAAAAAATTTCAGGGGGTTACGGAAAAATTTAACTTTCGGTGAAGTTGTCTAAAAATACAGAAAAAAATAAACCGAGACAAATTTCGACTAACTAAATCCAAAAAATTTGGCCTGGTGATGATCCCGAATTAATATTTTCGAAATATTCGATTTCAAATTGACATTTTCAAAAAATCCACAAAAAATTACGTATTTTATTTTGGTGATTCTGAAAACAATCGTAGAAGTTTTGAAAAAAAGAGCCAATAACAAATACTAGAGATCCAAATCAAAAATAGCATTTATTTTGGGAATTTTCGAAGATGTTCGGGAAAAGGTCAAAGTCAAAAATAGAGCTTTCGACAAAGTTTTCTAAAAATCCGCAAAAAATTCTGGGATGTAGATTTCGACAAACTGAATCGAAAAACACAACTTGTTGATGGTTCCCGACAGAAATTCTGGAAATATTAAATAATACTAAAGTTAAAACTTTTGAAAATTCGAAAAATTGGCATATTTTATTTTAACGAGTCAGGAACAATGTAGGAATGTAGGTGAAAACAATTTTTAGAGTTCCAAATCAAAAATAACATCTCTTTTGATAATTTTCGAAAATGCTTGAAAAAAGTAAAAAATTTCAGGGGGTTACGGAAAAATTAAACTTTTGGTGAAGTTGTCTAAAAATACAGAAAAAAATAAACCGAGACAAATTTCGACCAACTAAATCCAAAAAACTTAGCCTGGTGATGATCCCTAATTAAAATTTTCGAAATATTCAATTTCAAATTGATATTTTCAAAAAATGCACAAAAAATTACGTATTTTATTTTGGCGATTCTGAAAGCAATCGATGTAATTTTCGAACATAAACGGGAAAATAAAAATCAAAAATAGCGATTTCGGCAAAGTTTTCTAAAAATCCGCATTTTCTTTTTCACCTGTAAAAAAATCAACCTTACCTCTCTCCTAGTCCTCGGAACATACTGCTTCGGCGCGAACCCCGGCCGCACCTTCCCGTTGTTCCCCTGATGTGGAAGAACATGCACTGAGACCCACCGCTTCAACTTAAACCGTTCAAAATGAAAAATCACCAGCTCACGACTATCGCCAACGTTTCGGGCCACACATTCCAGCCGAACCGTCAAAGTATTGTGCGCTTTAATAGTAAAATGGTCAATGTTGTCGCTCAAGCGACACTGACCGTTGAGTTTGGGCAGCTGAACACAAATCAGCTTGACATCCTCTGCCTTGGCTTGTACCTCGACGAGGAACAACTTCGTCTCCCCTACTTTACCGAATATTAAAAAAATATTGTCGGTAATATTGACCAAATCGTGAGTATCTTGAAGCTCCTCCTCTTTGAAAACCTTGACAGCTTTGTTTTCCTTGAGGTGGAGATAGTCAGGGACGATTTTGAGTGCGCGCCACGTGCACTGATCCTGGTTGCTTTCAATAATTTCGGCTACGACTTTATCGCCGCGGACGGGCTGGTAGCCGCAATAAAGGGCATCTTTATCAAAAAATATATTTTTGTTGACGACACCGGTACTCTCTTGAGAGTTCCATTGTGACACTTGACCCAGTTTGACCTGGGGGCGCAGCGGCTGGACTTTGTTAATTTCGATAATTTTTCCGTTTAAATCGACCACGTTTTCGTCGATTTCGCATTTAACGTCAAGCTCCACCCAGTCACCTGTGAAACAACACAAATGTGACAATGTGACGCCATTTTTAACTTACATTTAAACTTGACTTTTATCGTGCAGCGACAAAACTAATTTTTTAATAATAGTTACTCACCTGCAATGGGAATAAACTCCGAACACACACTATTCAAGTTGATTGTTATATTCCCAGGACTGAGACTGATAATTCGGCCTTCTCTTTGCACAACTGAACAAACCAAAGTCCTCTCGTGCCACTTCTTTTTACCTGTATCCACCACATTCCAGTCGTTTTCGATCAGCCTCACATCACAAACCTTCACACCTCCTTCAGACCGAATTAATTGATAAGAAATCTTTGACCCAACAATCAAATCACTAATGTCGGTCTGGAAATCATACAAGTCGTCTACTCGAAAAGTGTTACCGTCAGCATGCGTGACTCTCCCGATTTTGCTCAGGACTTCATACTGCCCGATATCCTCAACCTCTCTGTGTTCTTCTTTCTTATGGCCGTTTGGCACTTCTTGCTTACATTCTCTGATCACGCTGTAGGCTTCGTCGAGAGACAGGGGTTGGATCGGTACGCCGGTGTGTCTCCAAAAAAGGGAAAAGAAGGATCTCCACATGATTCCGGCTGGGTAAAAAAACAAAAACACAACAACTAAAACGTGCACAGTTTGAGGTTATGTAAAAACTAAAGGGGTTACGCGTGTCAAATCATTGCGGTTTTAAAGAAAACGAACTAGTTTGGATGCATGTTTTTGCAAACAAAAACAAAGGCCAGAATGCCGACCCCGGCTGGAGGCGGTTAAATGCATAACACTGCACGTGCGCAGTGGAGCAGGTGGCTTTGTTTGGGTGGTCTTGTGGGTGGACTTTAGCCGGGAAATTTTGGATGATGATCAATTTGTGGGTTAATGGTAGAAAAATGGGTTTGAATGTATGTAAATTGTGATTTGTTAACATTCGATGAGAATATAACACAAAAAACAAAAAATAATTGATCAATTGTGTAGGGTATGCAACCAATTTTACACATTGACATTGACAGGTGGCTGGAGTAACGCAGTGGCGTAACGTACAACGACAATTGGGGACAGAAGTAAGTGATGTAATGACAGTTTGGATAATATGCAAAATGCATATGCGTATTTAACTATTTTTTTACATTTATTACATATTTTAAAATTTTTGCTGCATTTTTCGTAGTAATTGGTGAAAATCTTAATTTGAATACAATTTTAATACAGTTGATTATCGGCAGTATGTAAGTGAATAAGTACCGACCTTTTCTAATAATGCGGACGAGTTTTTCCAAGACTTCATTTATGGGCACCTCCAATTAGGCGTATTACTGGAATTCTTTTATTTAACGAGCTCTGAGAATTATGTCCTATAATCTAAGATGTGAGAAACGTAAAAAAAAAAGCACTAGTACTAACTTTTTTGTTATATTATTTGCTATGACGTGTCCTGACCTGCCCTGACTTCTCTATTGTCCCAAATAAACAAATTTAAAACATTTCTGTGAATATATAAAAACCACAAAGTACCTACATACATGATTAAAAAAATTCTATTTTGTGAAACAAAAATTAATAATAATTTATTTTTTTATCTACTTACAAAATTTGTATACCGAGCTATTTTGACGAAACTGTAAAAACTGCTATATTTCAATCAGCAATTTTGGTAAACCGGTAGGAATTTCCGAAGAAACAAAACCGAAAATGACTTTTGGATATCGAAATTTACAAGAAAATGTTTTCAACTAATTTTCGGATATAGTTGAAAAATGGTCGAAATGTCAAAAGGGCCAAAATCAGTCTTATCTTATCAAATACTAGACCCGCCCACCCACCCTCTATTTCCTTGAAAGGTATATCATTTGCCAAAATTAGTCTTATCTTAGAAGCAAGAACAAGCCCCGCCCACCCCCCCCCCCTCTTCTCATTCTGACGACTAATTTCATTTCCGTTCACTATAAGATCATTCATTTTATTCAGGTCGGATAAAATGAATCACTGAAAAGGAGACCGGGTGGGTGGGCGGGGCTAATTATGTCCTTTCGTCGAGTGGAAGTGGAAAATAATTATAGAATCTAGGATGAGAAAAAAGTAAAAAAAAAGTGCCAATCATAACTTTTTTTTGTTATACTATTTGCTATAAAATTTATTTCTTATTTCATGTACCTGACCTAACTTCTCTAATGTCTTAAATAAACAAATTTTTCACATTTCTGTACATAATTAAAAACGACAAAGTACATTCTTGAAACAATTGTATTTTATGAAACAAAAATGAATAATAATTTGCTTTTTCATCAACGAAATTTTTATACCGAGCTATTTTGACGAAACTGCAAAAACTGCTATATTTCAATTAACAATTTTGGAAAAACGGTAGAAATTTCCGAAAAAACGAAGCCGAAAATGACTTCTGGATATCGAAATCTACAAGAAAATGTCTTCAACTAATTTTCGGATATAGTTGCAAAATGGTCGAAATGTCAAAAGTGCCAAAATCAGTCTTATCTTATCTGACACTAGGATCGCCCACTCACCCTATATCTTCTTAGATAGTGTGTCACTTGCCAAAATCAGTCTTATCTTAGCACATACTAGCCCCGCCCACCCGCCCTTTTTTTTTCTTGAAAGGTATATCATTTGCCAAAATTAGTCTTATCTTAGCAAATACTAGCCCCGCCCATCTCACCCCCCCTCTTCTCATTCTGACGAATAATTTTATTTCCGTTCAGTATAAGATCATTCCTTTCATTCAGATCGGATAAAAAAATCACTGAAAAGGAGACCGGGTGGGTGGGCGGGGCTAATTATGTCCTTCTGTCGAGTCGGAGTGGGAAGTAAATATAGAATCTAGGATAAGAAAAAAGTAAAAAAAGCGACAATCGTAACTCTTTTTTCTTGTTGTACTATTGCTACAAAATTTATATCTTATTTGATGCACCTGACCTGACTCGCCACGACTTCTCTTGTCTCAAATAATAGTTGAAAAATGATCGAAAATGTCAGAAGTGCCAAAATCAGTCTTATCTTATCAAATACTAGCCCCGACCACCCGCCCTCTATTTTTTTGAAAGATATATCATTTGCCAAAATTAGTCTTATCTTGCCAAGTACTAGCCCCGCCCACTCCCCCCCTCTTTTCATTCTGACGAATAATTTTATTTCCGTTCAGGATAAGATCATTAATTTCATTCAGATCGGATATAATCAATCACTGAAAAGGAGACCGGGTGGGTGGGCGTGGCTAATTATGTCCTTCTGTCGAGAGGAGGTGGAAAGTATTCATAGAATCTAAGATGTGAAAAAAGTAAAAAAAAGGCGGTAATAGTAATTTTTTTTGTTATATTATTTGCTATAAAATTTATATCTTATTTGATGCACCTGGCCTGACTCGTCGCGACTTATCTTGTCTCAAATAATAGTTGAAAAATGGTCGAAAATGTCAAAAGAGCCAAAATCAATCTTATCTTAGCAAATACTAGCCCCGCCCACCCGCCCTCTATTTTTTTGAAAGTTGTATCATTTGCCAAAATTAGTCTTATCTTAGCATGTACTAGCCCCACCCACCCCCCCTCTTCTCATTCTAACGAATAATTTTATTTCCGTTCAGTATAAGATCATTCATTTCATTCACAACGGATAAAATTAATCACTGAAAAGGAGACCGGGTGGGCGGGCGGGGCTAATTATGTCCTTCTGTTGAGTGGGAGTGGAAAGTACATATTTATAGAATCTAAGATGTGAAAAGAGTAAAAAAAGCGCTAATAGTAATTTTTTTGTTATATTACTTGCTATAAAATTTATATCTTATTTCATGCATCTGACCTGATATGTCACGACTTCTTTTGTCTCAAATACTAGTTGAAAAATGGTCGAAAATGTCAAAAGTGCTAAAATCAGTCTTATCTTAGCAAATAGTAGCCCCGCCCACCCGCCCTCTGTTAAAGTTATATCAATTGCCAAAATTAGTCTTATCTTAGCAAGTACTAGCCCCGCCCACCCGCCCTCTGTTTTTTTGAAAGTGTAACGGGCGATAAATTTACTTATTTTTGGAGATGTTGGTATGAATCAGAACAATCGTCATTGTCGTAAAAATCAAGGTTGTCCTTGTGAAACTTGGATTTTATGATTTCACACCATTCTAATCAAGGTTTATAATTTCACAGTTAAATATTGGCGCCGTTTGGCTGGACACGATGTCTTTGTCCAGTTTTATAATTTCATGGTTTAAATTTGTTAATTTTAACAAAAAGCACATTTTGCCACTAAAAATCTTCATATTACAGTTAATTAAGCCTAATTTGGTGGAAACACAAATACTTTTACGACTCCCCAAATAAACTGGTAACTTGTAAACAATTTTGCGAAAACAACTCCTTTGGAGGGGTCTTTACTTATAAAAGTTCGAAAGATCCAAAAAAGATCAGAGTCCTCTAGCCAGTTGCCTGTTAGTGTGTGTTTGTGTTGTGACACAAGGGGGTAAGTGTTGACATCTCCAAAAATGTGCACGATTTCATAAAAAGTTCAAAGTTTTGTTTTTATTAATATTTTTAAAGTTCAATTTAATTTTGATGATAAATCGCCCTTTGTATTCTCGATTGGATAACGTTTTGAGATTTAGATCTATTTTTAAAGATTAATTTGCATTGAAATTATTAGTTAAACAGTTATATTGTTTGATGAACGCTGACCACGCAACTACTATAATGTTCCTTACCAAATTTTAGAGTTGTTACCAAATTTTAGAGTTGTTACCAAATTTTAGAGTTGTTACCAAATTTTAGAGTTGTTACAAATTTTTGAGTTGTTACCAAATTTTTGAGTTGTTACAAATGTTTGAGTTGTTACCAAATTTTGAGTTATGGTACCAATTTTAAGTTTTGTTATATTTTTGTTTTAGATTTTTTTTAAATATTTGTTTTATTATGCTTTCAAAGATTTAGTTTCAAAGTTATAAAGTTTTCTTGAATTTATTTAAAAATGTTTTAATACTGAAGTTCATTTTCTGATAATTATATTTGCATATTAAACTACACTACAATTTATTGTTATTCCAAATTATTCTCATATGACTAAATCTCTTTTGTACATACTCATTTCTAAATTAAATATAATTATTCATTTAAGCAAAATGCATATACTTGAAGTAGTCCCTTTGTCCAGTCACTAGAATGTGTTACCATCATCACGAACCAGCCTACGAACAAATAAATAATATTTTCACTATATGTCGGGCACAAGGTCCACGACAAGAGTTTTACAGTTTTATATATAATAAATTAACAAAAGTTAATTTTGAAAATCTCCCAAGCCCGTCACAAAAGTTATATCAATTGCCAAAATTAGTCTTATCTTGCCAAGTACTAGCCCCACCCACCCCCCCCCCTTTTCTCATTCTGACGAATAATTTTATTTCCGTTCAGGATAAGATCATTAATTTCATTCAGATCGGATATAATCAATCACTGAAAAGGAGACCGGGTGGGTGGGCGGGGCTAATTATGCCCTTTTGACGAATGGAAGTGGAAAGTAATTATAGAATCTAGGATGAGAAAAAAGTAAAAAAAAGCGCCAATTGTAATTTTTTTTTGTTATACTATATATTTGCTATAAAATATATATCTTATTTCATGCACCTGACCTGACTCGTCGCGACTTATCTTGTCTCAAATAATAGTTGAAAAATGGTCGAAAATGTCAAAAGTGCCTAAATCAGTCTTATCTTAGCAAATACTAGCCCCGCTCACCCGCCCTCTGTTAAAGTTATATCAATTGCCAAAATTAGTCTTATCTTAGCAAGTACTAGCCCCGCCCACCCCCCCTCTTCTGATTCTGACGAATCATTTTATTTCCGTTCAGTATATTTCATTCACATCGGATAAAATTAATCACTGAAAAGGAGACCGGGTGGGTGGGCGGGGCTAAATGTGTCCTTTTGTCGAGTGGGAGTGGAAAGTAATTATAGAATCTAGGGTTTGCTATAAAATTTATTTCTTATTTCATGCACCAGAGACAAAGTGGGTGGGCGGGGCTAATTATTTTTTTCTATCGAGGAGGGGTGGGGGTGGAAACTAATAATAGGATGTAGGATGTGAAAAGAATAAAAAAAGCGCCAATCATAACTTTTTTTTGTTATACTATTTGCTATAACATTTATTTCTTATTTCACGCATCTGACCTAACTTCTCTATTGTCCCAAATAAACAAATTCTAAACATTTTTGTAAATAAATTAAAAAATATGCATTTAAAAATCTTTGAAATCTTTGACAGAAGTTATGCAACAAATTTCCTGCTATGTCTTAATACTTAAACTATTTTAACGAAAAAACCATAGACTTAATTAAAATACATGAGCCTCTTCTAGGCCGCCTCACAAACCTTTTTTGGTTAAAAGAGCGTTTTCCTCTCAAAGAAAATAGGCAAATATTCGACAACCTGACAAAATTTCTTCACTTTTTAGATGGCTGTGAGCGAAGTTATTTTCTGCATAAAAATAATAAATGAAATAATGTAACGAGATTCAGTTAAAAAAGTCATAATCATCATTAAAAACATTAATTTTATTATACGAAAAAGTGAGGTTAGAATGTATCATTTCACGTTGTCGACAGTCATCGATTAAATTTTCGATTTATCGCAGACATACTTCATGATTAAAAAAAAAAACAGCGCTAACTTGATGACTTCAATGGAACACCCGAATTTTATGCATTTCTTCATATATTTTAATGTCTGAATAACCTGAACAAAGCAACCACAGACTTAGTACATAAATAAGTCCCTTTTCAATCAAAATATGGTTGAATTAGGGTTGTTATTCTATCAACTGCATTGTTCGTTGTTACAAGAATAACAGTGATGTATCAAAAAATAGGCAACCAGTAAATCAGATGTATACGTCAGAATTAGACTATAAAGGAAACATTTGAAATTAAGTAAACACGCCCCTAAAATGATCTCAAGTACTGCTTAAGTAAATCAATATTTATTAAGTTTTAAAAAATATCACTAAAATACATAAATATCTGTTATTGTCGCCATAAAATTTGTACGTAGTCTCCAAATCAGTTAAAACCAAATGACGAGTTCTATTGGTTAACACAAGTTTGACTTCTTACTTTGCTACTGTGTTTCGGTATACTAGAACTGTGGTCTTTGCTGTCAATATCAAACACAATAGGCAAATTTCTGGGTACGTAGTGACGGTTACATGTGCAGGCATTGACAAATGTCGTTGTTCCATCAGTCGATATTCCATACCCTGTAACAAAAGATTGGAATAATAATGAGACAAAACGTAAACAAAAACACGAGTCTTGTACCTTCGTGTATGTGCCCAAAAATATGGAACTTGGGCTTAACGCGTTTCTGAATCGTTGACAACAACTCCACACAACCAGCTCTCCCTCCAGAAATGAGTCTATCGCCATGCCCCAGTGGCGGCCCGTGCGTGACCAAAATATCAACATCTTCAGGAATTTGGTTCCATTTTTCGAGAATCGCTTGCCCACGTGGTAGATTAAAAGCCAACCCTCCGTGTTCAGGTTGCCTAAATACATATGAAAACACACTATATTCCATAAAAAAAAAATTAAAAATTCTACCATGGAGACCCGTAAATTTTAAGTCCACACAACGTCACCGCCGAATCCTCCAAATAAATACAATCAGTCAGAAGCTTCTTCACATCGCGAACTTCCCCTTTATGCTTTCGAAAAAACGTGGTGAAGAAAATGCACTTTTCGTCGAAACTGAGCTCGTGGTTACCGGCGATCACAACTTTGTGACGGTGAGGCAAAGATTCTGGAAATTATGTTCGGTAAAGTGGTTTCTGTTTAAAAGAGGTTAGTACCACCTACTAATCCAGTTATTGAATTTGATTATTTCGTGGTCTTCGCCCCACATGCTGAAGTCTCCGGCGTGGATGAAGATGTCTCCGTCTGGTATGATCCTGAAGGTGAAATTGTCGTATTCAGAGTGGGTGTCGCTCATGCAGACGATGCGGACGTGTCCTGGCTGGACAGGGGTTGAAATGTCGGTGGGGGTTTGTAGCAGGGTGAATTTTTGTTTTTTTGACAGTTCGGTGAAGGCTTCTGTGGGGTTGTGGGACAGAGGGTGGACTGTGATTGCACTCTCCATACTTATGTTTGCGACTGCTCTGAAATTTTGTTGCATAAAAAGGGTGGATGCGCCAGGATAATATAGTATCCATTCACGATCTTTATATAGTGTAGGCTTTGATATTTTTTCTTTAAGTTGGATAAACTGATTTGATGATTTAGTTTTTTGTCTAACCAACGGATTTATTTACAAATTATATGTTTCGGAAAGACCTGCAACGACAAATTTGGCAACTTAATGAAAAAAACGAATATTTCACTGTAGATGCTGTTTTGGCATATTCTAGGGAACAGTTGGAATTTAAAGGGGGGCGAACCACATTATACAAAATTCTTAAGTCAATGGGTTATAAACACAGGGAAGTAAATGGTCGCAAAATTCTTTGTCGTTGCAGCCAAAATTACCTTTTTGACAACATATTTACAGTTTCTAAATTCTTGTGAAATTTGACTTTCGTGTATTTGGATGGAACATGGATCTATCAAAATGGTTCGTCCATTCGTGGCTGGGTGCACGATACTGACCCACCAAAATTAAAAGTGAAGGATCAAGGTTTACTATTCTCCACGCGGGTTGTTCAACGGGTTCTTGAATGGTTGTAACAATTTTTTAAATTAAAAAAATAACGATAGCGACTATCATAAAACGATGGACGGGACAATTTTTCAAAATTGGGTGATTAATCAGCTCATTCCTGCTTCGGCACAGTTGAACCAAAAATGTGTGGTGGTTTTAGATTCACTTGACACAGTAAAATTGAGTCTTTATCTAATCATAAAAACCAATGAAATTCAAAAGCGTAGGTGGGTGGGGTTAGTTTTACCTTTTTGTCCAATAAATAGAATGTCAGAAGGAAAACCGGGTGGGTGGGCGGGGCCACTTCGAATATTTTTAAGCGTAGAGTGGACCATTTGACAAAATTAAATTCAGTTTTCATCTAATCAAAAAACCAGAGAAATTTAAAAGCGAACGTGGTAGGAGTTAGTTTTAGCCCTCTATTTTCTTAGTGGATATGTCATTTCCCAAAATCACCCTTAACTTAGCACGTACTAGCCCCGCCCACCCGGCCTCTCTTTTCTTAGAAAGGTTATGTCATTTGCCAAAATCAGTTTTATCTTAGCAGGTACTAGCCCTGTCCACCCACCCTCTCTTTTTTTAAAAGTTAGGTGGGCGTGGCCACTTTGAATTTTTTAAGTCTAATTTGCCACTTGACGTAGTAAAAGTCAGTCTTCATCTAATCAAAAAACCATTGAAAATCAGAAACGGTGGTGGCTGGGATTAGCTTTACGTTCTTTTCCAGATTTCGTTGTTTGTCACTTTAAAATTCCCGTTTTGTCCAATAGAATGAGTGATCAGAAGGAAAACCGGGTGGGTGGGCGGGGCCAGTTTAGATTTTTAGAAGTAGATTAGGCCACTGGACAAAATAAAATTCGATTTCCATCCAACCAGATAAGGCAATTAAATTCAAAAGCGAAGGTGGGTGGAGTTAGTTTTAGCTTTTTGTCTAGATTACTAGATTTCACTGTTATTCAATATAAAATGCACTTTTCGTCCAATAAAATGAGTGACCAAAAAGAAAACCGGGTGGGTGGGCGGGCCACTTTGAATTTTTTTAAGCGTATATTCCTCATTTGACACAGTAAAATTGAGTATTTATCTAATCATAAAAACCAATAAAATTCAAAAGCGTAGGTGGGTGGGGTTAGTTTTACCTTTTTGTCCAATAAATAGAATGATCAGAAGGAAAAACTGGCGGGTGGGCGGGGCCACTTTGTATTTTTAGGCCTAATTCGCCACTTGACGTAGTAAAATTCAGTCTTCATCTAATTAAAAAAAAGAAAAAAAAAACAATCAAATTCAAAAGCGGTGGTGCGTGGGATTAGTTTTACGTTTTTTTACCTAGATTTCGTTGTTTGTCACTATAAAATTCCCCTTTTGTGCAATAGAAAGAGTGATCAGAAGGAAAACCGAGTGGGTGGGCGGGGCCACTTTGAATTTTTTTAAGCGTAGATTGGACCACATGACAAAATTAAATTCAGTTTTCATCTATTCAAAAAACCAGTGAAATTTAAAAGCGGACGTGGTAGGGGTTAGTTTTAGCCCTCCATTTTCTTAGCTGGTATGTCATTTGCCAAAATCACTCTTACCTTAGCACGTACTAGCCCCGCCCACCCACCCTCTCTTTTCCTAGATATATGTCATTTGTCAAAATCAGTTTTATCTTAGCGGGTACTAGCCCCGCCCACCCGCCCTCCCTTTTCTCAGAGGATATGTCATTTGTCAAATTCGATCTTATTTTAACAGGTACTAACCCCGCCCATGCGCTCTCTATTGTCTTAGAGGAATTTCATTTGCCAAGATCAGTCTAATCTTAGCAGGTACTAGCCCCGCCCACCCACCCTCTCTTTTCTTAGAGGGTATTTCCATTTGCCAAAATCACTCTTATCTTAGCAGATACTAATCCCGCTCACCCTCCTTCTATTTTCTTTCTGATGTCATTTATGAAAATTGATCTTATTTTAGCAGCTACAAACCCCGCCCACGCGCTCTCTATTGTCTTCGTTTAATTTTGTGACTTTTCAATGTTCCGATTCTTTAATTTTTCCATTTTTCAACTTCGAATAAAAAATGGAAGCATTGCAAAATTGTAAAATTGAAAAATCAAGTATGAAAAAACGAAAACGTATAAAATGAAAACTAAAACATCTAAAAATTGGAAATCAAGAAGTTGAAAAATTGATGAAACGAAAAATTGAAAAATCGAAAAATTAAAAATTGGGAAACTTAAAAAATCCAAAAACTACAAAAACCTTGATTTTACAGTTTCTCGATTCGTCAATTTTCCGACTCTTCAATGTTTGCACTTTATATTTTTCTGGATTTTCGATTTCTGGGTTTTCCGATTTTCAATTTTTTGGTATTTCAGTGTTGGGAGTTTTCAATTTCTCGGTTCTTCAAATTTTCAATTTCTCGATTTCTTAAGTTTTCGATTTTTCAATTTTTGACGTTTCTAAATATTCAATGTTTCGACTTTTCAAGGTTTCGATTTTCAGAATTTTCGATTCTCCAATTTTTCGATTTTCAAGTTTTAGATTTTTCGAATACTCGATTATCCAAATGTTTTAGTTCTAGGATTTTTAAATTTTTCTTTCATTTTTCAATTTTTCGATATGTCAGTTTTGAGATTACGAATATTGAATTTTTCGACTTTTCGATTTCTCAATTTTTTCGATATACAGATTTTTTTAACTTTAAAATTTTCAATTTTTCCACTCCTCGATTTTTGGATTTCTCGATTTTTGATATTTTCGTTTCCCAATGTTTCGATTTCTCGGTTTTTCAACTTTTCGTTATTCTAATTTTTGAATTTTAAATTTTGGGTTTTTCGGTTATTCGATTTTTAAAACTATTCGACTTTTCGATTTTTAGATTTCTCAGAGGGATCTCAGTTATCTTAGCAAATACTAGCCCCGCCCACCAGCCCTCTATTTTCTTGGAAAGTATGTCATTTGCCAAAATCAGTCTTATCTTAGCAAATACTAGCCCCGCCCACCCGCCCTCTATTTTCTTGGAAGGTATATCATTTGCCAAAATTAGTCTTATCTTAGCAAGTACTAGCCACGCCCACCCCACCCTCTTCTCATTCTGACGAATAATTTTATTTCCGTTCAGTATAAGATCATTGATTTCATTTACATCGGATAAAATTATTCACTGAAAAGGAGACCGGGTGGGTGGGCAGGGCTAATTATATCCTTCCGTCGAGTGGGCTGGAAAGTATTCATAGAATCTAAGATGCGAAAGAAGTAAAAAAAAAGCGCTAGTAGTAATTTTTTTTTGTTATATTATTTGCTATAAAATTTATATCTTATTTCATGCACCTGACCTGACTTGTCGCGACGTCTCTTGTCCCAAATAATAGTTGGAAAATGATTGAAAATGTCAAAATTGCCAAAATCAGTCTTATCTTAGCACATACTAGCCCCGCCCACCCGCCCTCTATTTTCTTGGAAGGTACATCATTTGCCAAAATTAGTCTCATCTTAGCAGCAAGTACAAGCTCCTCCCACCCACCCCTCTTCTCATTCTGACGACTAATTTTATTTCCGTTGAGTATAAGATCATTCATTTCTTTCAGATCGGATAAAATCAATCCCTGAAAAAGAGACCGGGTGGGTGGGCGGGGCTATTTATGTCCTTCTGTCGAATGGGAGTGGAAAGTTTTTATAGAATCTAAGATGTAAAACAAGTAACAAAAAACCGCTAATAGTAATATTTTTTTTTGTTATATTATTTGCTATAAAATTTATATCTTATTTCATGCACCTGACCTGACTTGTCGCGACGTCTCTTGTCTCAAATAATAGTTGAAAAATGGTCGAAAACGTAAAAGTGCCAAAATCAGTCTTATCTTAGCAAATACTAGCCCCGCCCACCCGCCCTCTATTTTCTTGGAAGGTATATCATTTGCCAAAATTAGTCTTATCTTAGCAAGTACTAGCCACGCCCACCTCCTCTCTTCTCATTCTGACAAATAATTTTATTTCCCTTCAGTATAAGATCATTGGCTGATATGCATAAAAATAAGTATTTACTAAAAGTAAAAACTTTTAGTAAAAGCATCTACTTATTAGTAGTTACTACAAGTAAAAGTATTTACTGAAATTCATATGCATAACCTTTTACTTATACTTATAAGTAAATACTTGCAATTTTCCAGTAAATACTTAAAAACTGATTAACGTAACTGTCATAAAAATAATTTTGTGATTTGTGTCATACGTACGAATTTGGTTGCAACATGAGTTCCTCAAACTCCGAAACCGGTGCAAGTGTTGAAACTGCTCAAATAAACAACAAGCAGGAAAGATTTATTTCCATTTTAAAGAAATGGCCGATATTATTAACCAAATCGTAAACACCAGACAGCCGAGAGAAAAAAAAGGCTGCTCTAAGTAAGCTCGCAAGCCAATAAGCCATAGATTATGGAGAATCTATGCATTTTGCCTTGATTTTCTTAATATAGGAGTTTTTGGTAAAGTTGATGGAAATTCGCTTTGTTAAAGTTGAAGTTCTTGTTCAATCTGTTCATTTGAAAAGCTTATGAGGCGCAAAAAGAGATTTTGTTCAAATTTATAGTCAGTGAAGAATGATGTAGATCTTCCTCAAGTAATAAAGGGAAAGTCCTCATAAACCGAACAATAATTACAAGGAAAAAGGGGGACTAGTTTTTTTCACCAAAATATTGCCCCCAAGGAATGATTAAATTTTGTATCTATCTATCTAAATACTGTACGTTTTCTTCCTCGAATCTGTACATTTTGCCTTGTACGTATTCGGATAGGCTTGTCTCCGGGGGTTATATAATTTCTGTTGACGAAAAGGAAGAACAAATAGCGCCATTCTAAACTGTTCTAAACTTTAAATGTCAATCACCTTCTTAAGACACACTGCACGTTGACTGAATTCAATTTAGTATAATCACTAGTCTACTAAAAAGTAGCTTGAAAAATTTTAAGTACTTACTTGCAAGTACAAGTAAGTACTTGTTATTATGCATGCAACTTGAAGTATTTACTGGAAAATTAAGTAAAACCTAGAAAATTTTTCAAGACCAAGTAATAAGTAAATACTTATAAGCTTATACTTATTATTATTCATACGAAAGTCAGTATTTACTTGTAAATTTCAGTATTTAGTATTTACTAAACTTTATGCATATCACTCAATGATTTCATTTACATCGGATAAAATTAGTCACTGAAAAGGAGACCGGGTGGGTGGGCGGGGCTAATTATGTCCTTCCGTCGAGTGGGTTGGAAAGTATTCATAATTTCTAAGATGTGAAAAAAAAAAAAAAACACGCTAATAGTAATTTTTTTGTTATATTATTTGCTATAAAATTTATATCTTATTTCATGCACCTGACCTGACTTGTTGCGACTTCTTTTGTCTCAAATAATAGTTGAAAAATGGTCGAAAACGTCAAAAGTGCCAAAATCAGTCTTATCTTAGCAAATACTAGCCCCGCCCACCCGCCCTCTATTTTCTTGGAAAGTATATCATTTGCCAAAATTAGTCTTATCTTAGCAAGTACTAGCCACGCCCACCCCCTCTCTTCTCATTCTGACGAATAATTTTATTTCCCTTCAGTATAAGATCATTGATTTCATTTACATCGGATAAAATTAATCACTGAAAAGGAGACCGGGTGGGTGGGCGGGGCTAATTATGTCCTTCCGTCGAGTGGGCTGGAAAGTATTCATAGAATCTACGATGTGAAAAAAGTAAAAAAAAGCGCTAATAGTAATTTTTTTGTTATATTATTTGCTATAAAATTTATATCTTATTTCATGCACCTGACCTGACTTGTCGCGACGTCTCTTGTCCCAAATAATAGTTGGAAAATGATTGAAAATGTCAAAATTGCCAAAATCAGTTTTATCTTAGGAAATATTAGCCCCGCCCACCCACCCTCTATTTTTTTGAAAGGTATATCATTTCCCAAAATTAGTCTTATCTTATCAAGTACAAGCCCCTCCCACCCACCCCTCTACTCATTCTGACGACTAATTTTATTTCCGTTGAGTATAAGATCATTCATTTCATTCAGATCGGATAAAATCAATCACTGAAAAAGAGACCGGGTGGGTGGGCGGGGCTATTTTGTCGTTCTGTCGAGTGGGAGTGGAAAGTATTTATAGAATCTAAGATGTAAAAAGAGTAACAAAAAACCGCTAATAGTAATTTTTTTTTGTTATATTATTTGCTATAAAATTTATATCTTATTTCATGCACCTGACCTGACTTGTCGCGTCTTCTCTTGTCTCAAATAATAGTTAAAAAATGGTCGAAAATGTTAAAAGTGCCAAAATCAGTCTTATCTTATCAAATACTAGCCCCGCCCACGCGCCCTCTATTTTCTTGGAAGGTATATCATTTGCCAAAATTAGTCTCATCTTAGCAGCAAGTACAAGCCCCTCCCACCCACCCCTCTTCTCATTCTGACGACTAATTTTATCTCCGTTGAGTATAAGATCATTCATTTCATTCAGATCGGATAAAATCAATCACCGAAAAAAAGGCCGGGTGGGTGGGCGGGGCTATTTATGTCCTTCTGTCGAGTGGGAGTGGAAGGTATTTATAGAATCTGAGATGTAAAAAAAGTAACAAAAAACCGCTAATAGTAATTTTTTTTGTTATATTATTTGCTATAAAATTCATATCTTATTTCATGAACCTGACCTGACTTGTCGCGACGTCTCTTGTCCCAAATAATAGTTGGAAAATGATTGAAAATGTCAAAATTGCCAAAATCAGTCTTATCTTAGCAAATACTAGCCCCGCCCACCCGCCCTAAATAAAGAGCACTTACGTAAGCATTAGTAATAGCTATATAGATAAATCATTCAATTTAAGGCCGGAAAAATGTTTCAGAAGAGCTAAACCCATCAAAGCACTAGAGCAAGGTTGTTGTCTTTTACCAACCCTTTTAGTAATCTTAGAAAAGTGAAAAAAGAAGTTGGAAGATATGGAAATGGGCTGTTCACAAAGGTCGAAATTTCCATTTCTAAGAAGAGTGGGCGAGCAGAACGAACTGATGATTGAGAATTAAAGATGAGGTGCTAAATGTGGCATGCGACAGTAGTCGTATGTTGAACCCCCATTCATATAAAAACAATGTTTAAGTAAATTTTTAGTGTTTGTTCTTACATATGAAATAAACACGTACAAAAACCCGAATAACTGTTTTAAATAGCGTAAAGTTTTATGGATACCGTTAACTTGGTCATTGCTACTGAAAACTGAAAGTATCGGTAACAATGTTTATATTTCTGGCATATTTTTTAACCTTTAATTTAATAAAACATAACCTAACGAAAATCGTTCAGGGAATTTTTATTCTTCTGCATCGAATACCAACAAACTCACTAGCCTAATATATAAAGATCGTGAACGCATAATAAATGTGTTTGTTCACGTGTGTGTAACCCGGGGAACCCACATCAAAGGTACGCCACTGGACACAAACATCAACACAGATCACTGAACGAAAGTTGTGCAACTCAAACTAAATTAAACACAGTAAATACGTCGATAATGCGAAACTTCCAAATAAACCGTATTTATTTACATTACCTCAATAAAGTTATCACAGAGCTTCGACTTTGCGTGACAGATAACTGACACCACACCACTAATCTGGTTGGTTTTCCGTATTACTCATCCACGATTCGCGCAGTGCGCATCTCTCCAGCTATATCATTAATCCTTAATTGCAATACCAATCAGCGCAGTCGCGACTTTCCTGTTTACGCTTTGTGTAAATTCTAAACATTACTTAAGTCACGTGACGCGGCTTAAGTTAAGTTAAGTACACTCTGTAGAGTCAAATCTCGTCTAAATAGTTCGCGTGGTTATGGCCAGCGATACCCTCAGTGATGTAAAGAAGATAGAAGTCGTCTGCAAAAATTGCCACAGAGCTATAAACGACGGAGACAATGAATACTCGGAGCAAAAGATTGACAAGTGCAGACAATGGTTGAACAGCTGCGGTGATTTGTCGAGCGCCGAGAGTCTGTCATGCTGCTCGTATTCCGACTTTCCGGCAGATGATAGTACTTTCGATGATAACGAATTGATTGTGGCTAGCGAGAATGTGCATATATCGGACAAGGTTTTGGCAACCACTGGAGTAAGTATTAAGTATTTTTAATTAATTACTGTGAGAAAAAAAAAATTAAAATGACATTTGGATTCTGTACAGTCCCGAAATCAGTGAAAGATTCTACACTCGTAGCAGACTTAACCTTGGACGAGACCGGCCATAGAACTATGCGAAACCGCAAAACTAACCGCAGTGATAACTAAATTGCTGAAAGTTCAAATTGACAGTCACGTACAGATTTTGACTATGATATTTTCGAAAAAAATTTACGAATTATTTCATCATGTTTATCAAGGTTCCGATAAAACTGGAATAACCCAGTACTACCCGAGAGTGTGGAATCTGCGGATTATAAGTTCCGTAATCACACAAGTGTGATAAAAATGCATTAAAGCATAAAATGTTATCTATGTTTATAGAAAAATAAAAAGAAATTGTAAAAACAAAATTTTCTTTACCATACATAATATTTTTAATAAATGAAACAAGTTTTGTAGTTTGTCGTGCATACATTGTAGCTGATATCCGTTATCGCTACAACAATTATTTTTTATTTTTATGTTGGTAATAAAATAATATACGTGGGTGTAGATTACATGAACACAAATTTGAGGCTTCTTTATCTAATTATTTTGCGATTATTTCTAGTTCTGACTATTATTAATTGATTTAGATCGAGTAGCACTTTAGAGACAGGAAGTTGCATAAAATAAATAATTTTTAGTATAAAAACAATGACAAAATCTGTGTGATAAGGATAAGGCTAATCCAAGTTCGCACATCGGAAACCGAGACTCCAAGTTTGACGTCAAAGTTTCCCCCGCCTTGATAACATTTATTTATGTTGAATAAACAACAAAAAATGCAGTAATAATTGTATAACTAGGAAATAGTAATACTTGAGGTGAAATTGAAATGTTGAAAAATTGAGAAATAGAAAGCTTGAAAAATATAGAAATCTACAAATCGAAAAGTCGAAAAATTTTAAAAATTCGAAAACTGAGAGGTCAAGAAATGGAAACAACAAATGATCGTGAAATTGAAAAATCGAAAAACTGAAAAATCGAAAATTTGAGCATTCGAAAAATTGAGAAATATGTAGAAACAACGAAGAACTGAAAAATCGAAAAACCAAGAAATCGAAAAACTGAGTAATCCAAAAAGCGAAATTAAAATTTGAAATAAAAAAAAAATGTAAATTGAAAAATCCCCAAATTAAATAATCAAAAAAATCAAAACATCGAAATCTCGATAAATCTAGAAATACAAAAATTGAAAAATAGAAAAACCGAAAAATTGTAAAAACGAAAAATTTAATAATTGAAAATTGAAAAACCGAAAACTCTAAGACCTTAATTCGAAAAGCGGAGAAATCGAAGCATCAAAAACTGAAAAATCTAAAACTTAAAAATGCGAAACATTGAAAAATCGAAATATGAAAGAAATGAAGAATCGAAAAATCAAGAAATTGAAACTTATCTAAAATTTTAACAATTGAAAAATTGGAAAAATTGAAAAATCGAGAAATTGGGAAAATTCAAAAGAAGAAGAAAAAATCGAGAAATCTAAACGGGAAGAGATTGAAAAAACGAGAGATCGAAATGTCGAAAAGTCCTAAAATTGAAAAATTGAGAAATCGAAAAACGAAAAATTTTAAATTAAAAAAATCCATAAACCGAAATTCCAAAAATCCCCCAAATTGAACAATAAAAAAATCGAAACATCGAAATCTCGATAAATCGGGAAATGGAAAAACGGAAAAATAGAAACATCGAAGAATTGAAAAATCGAAAAATCGAGATATTGCTCGTAAGTTAAAAATTCCAAAATATAAAAATTGAAATAATAAAATATCAAAAAACTGAAAAATCGAAAAATCGAAGAATTCAAAAATCTAAAATTTAAAAATCGAAAAATCAAAAAATCCAAAATTGAAGAAGTCAGAATTGAAAAATTGTATAATTGAAAAATCTAAAAACTGAAAAATTCCAAAACCCAAATGGCCAAAAATTGGTAAATCGAAAAATTTTAAAATCGAAAAGCGGAGCATCGCAAAACTGAAATTTGAAATAAAAAAAATTGAAAAATTGAAAAATCGGAAATTTGTAAAAACGAAAAATTTAATAATTGAAAATTGAAAAACCGAAAACTCTAAGACCTTAATTCGAAAAGCGGAGAAATCGAAGCATCAAAAACTGAAAAATCTAAAACTTAAAAATGCGAAACATTGAAAAATCGAAATATGAAAGAAATGAAGAATCGAAAAATCAAGAAATTGAAACTTGTCTAAAATTTTAACAATTGAAAAATTGGAAAAATTGAAAAATCGAGAAATTGGAAAAATTCAAAAGAAGCATCGAGAAATCTAAACGGGAAAAGATCGAGAAATCGAAACGTCGAAAAGTCCTAAAATCGAAAAATTGAGAAATCGAAAAACGAAAAATTTTAAATTAAAAAAATCCATAAACCGAAATTCCAAAAATCCACCAAATTGAACAATAAAAAAATCGAAACATCGAAATCTCGATAAATCGGGAAATGGAAAAATGGAAAAATAGAAACGTCGAAAAATTGAAAAATCGAAAAATCGAGATATTGCTCGTAAGTTAAAAATTCCAAAATATAAAAATTGAAATAATAAAATATCAAAAAACTGAAAAATCGAAAAATTGAAGAATTCAAAAATCTTAAATTTAAAAATCGAAAAATCGAAAATCCAAAATTTAAGAAGTCAGAATTGAAAAATTGTATAATTGAAAAATCTAAAAACTGAAAAATTCCAAAACCCAAATGGCCAAAAATTGGTAAATCGAAAAATTTTAAAATCGAAAAGCGGAGCATCGCAAAATTGAAATTTGAAATAAAAAAAATTGAAAAATTGAAAAATCAGAAAATCCAGATATTGAATAATCAAAAAATCGAAACATCGAAATCTCGATCAATCTGGAATTATAAAAATTGAAATTTAGAAAAACTGAAAAATCGAAAAATTGAAAAAACGAAATCTAAAATTCTAGAATTTTAAAAATTTATAAAGTGTTAAAAAATTGAAAAATATAAAATGCCAACATTGAAAAATCCGAAGAACTAAAATACTGAAAAATCCTAAAGCTAAAATATCGAAAAATAGAAAAATTGAAGAATTCAAAAATCTAAAATTTAAAAATCGAAAAATTGAAAAATCGAAAATCCAAAATTTAAGAAGTCGAAGAAGTGAAAAATTGGATAACTGAAAAATCTAAAAACTGAAAAATTGAGAAATTGAAAAATTCCGAAACTTAGACGGGGGAAAATTGGTAAATCGAAAAATTTTAAAATCGAAACATCGAAAAATTGAAAAATTGAAATATCAAAAAATCCACAAAATTGCATAGTCAAAAAATCGAAACATCGAAAACTCGATCAATCTGGAAATAGAAAAATTGAAACATAGAAAAACTGAAAAATCGAAAAATTGGAAATCGAAGCCTCCAAAAAACTAAAAAATCTTAAACTAAAAAATGGAATAAATGAAGAACGAAACAGCGAAAAATCGAAACATCTAAAATTTTAACAATTGAAAAACTGGAAAAATTTCAAAGCTGAAATGGCGAAAAACTGGGAAATCGAGAAATTTAAAAATCGAAAACTTCAGAAACTGAAACATGAAATCGAAAAGTCGAGAAGTCGAAAAACCGAAAAGTTAAAAGATGAAAAATTTAAAATTAAAAAAAATCCATAGATCGAAAATCTAAAAAGTCATAGATTTAATAAAAAAATCGAAACATCGAAATCTCGATAAATCCAGAAATCGAAAAACTAAATAACCGAGAAGTCGAAACAGCAAAAAACTGAAAAATCTAAAATTTAAAAATCCGAAAAGTTGAAAAACATAATATCGAAGAATTTAAAAATAGAAAATTGAAAAACCGAAAAATCTAAAACCTCAATAATTCGAAAAATGGGAAAATCGAAGCATCAAAAAACTGAAAATTCTAAAACTTAAAAATGGTATACATTGAAAAATAGAAGTATGGAAGAAATCCAGAATCAAAAAATCTAAAATTTTAACAATTTAAAAATTGGAAAAAAGTGAAAAATCGAGAAATTGGAAAAATTCCAAAGCTGAAATGGCGAAAAATTTTAAATTAAGAAAATCCATAAATCGAAAATCCAAAGATCCACAAATTGAGCAATAAAAAAATCGAAACATCGAAATCTTCATAAACCAGGAAATCGAAAAATTGAAAAAATAAAATATCGAAAAATTGAAAAATCGAAATTCAAAATTTAAGAAGTCGAATTGAAAAATTGGATAACTGAAAATTCGAGAAATTCAAAAATCTAGAAATTGAAAAATTTCGAAACCGAAATGGCGAAAAATTGGCAAATCCACAATTTAAATAATCAAAAAATCGAAACATCGAAATCTCCATAAGCCGGGAAATCGAAAAAGTGAAAAAATAAAATATCGAAAAATTGAAAAATCGAAATTCGAAATTTAAGAAGTCGAATTGAAAAATTGGATAACTGAAAATTCGAGAAATTGAAAAATCTAGAAATTGAAAAATTTCGAAACCGAAATGGCGAAAAATTGGCAAATACACAATTTAAATAATCAAAAAATCGAAACATCGAAATCTGGATAAATCTAGAAATAGAAACATTGAAACATAGAAAAACTGAAAAATCAAAAAATTTAAAAATCGAAGTCAAAAAAACTGAAAAATCTAAAACTTAAAAATGGGAAACATTGAAAAATAGATATATGGAAGAAATGAAGAATCAAAAAATCGAGAAATCAAGAAATCTAAAATTTTAACAATTGAAAAATTGGAAAAACTGAAAAATCGAGAAACTGGGAAAATTTCAAAGCTGAAATGGCGAAAAATTGGGAAACAGAAATTTAAAAATCGAAACATCACAAAATTCAAAAACTAAAGTATCGAGAAATCTAAGCGAGAAGAGATCCAGAAATCGAAACGTCGAAAAGTCCAAAAATCGAAAAATGGAGGAATGGAAATTCGACAAACAGAAAAATTAAACTGAAAAGTTTCAAAATTAAAAAAATAGAATATCAAAAAATTTAAGAAGTCCAAGAATTGAAAAATTGGACAATTGAAAAATCGAAAAACTGACAAATCGAGAAATTGAAAAATTCCGAAACCCAAATGGCGAAAAATTGGTAAATCGAAAAATTTTAAAATCGAAACTCGAAAAATCCGAAGAAATGAAATATTGAAAAATCCTAAAGCTAAAATATAGAAAAACCGGAAAAAGAGTTAGAAAAATTAAAGAATCCAAAAATCCGGATATTGAAAGTTGTCAAATCGAGAAATCGAAGAACCGAAAAATCAAAAATTCAAAAAATCGAGGAATCGAGAAACTGTTATATAAAGAATTTTACAAAAATCTAGATATCTAGGATAAAAATTCAACATGGATTCATAAACTACACGTTCAGAATTAATGTCACTCTTTAACATTTCAACAACATTTATTCGACAAAATTGTTTAAAATAAGTTTAAATTTTTTAAACTCATTTAGAGTTGTGGCGAATAATAAATTTGATAAATTAGTTAAAAAAATTTAGCTCATTAGACAAAAATGTTTTGATTATTCAGTTAATTTTGAATAAAAGAGGTATAAATAACCGAAAAGAGCTGTTTCTGCAAAACTGTAAGACTTAAAAAAACGAAATGTTAGTTTTGGAAAAGTTCTAGCGAATATTAAAAAAATCATCGGTAAACTTGGCTAAATTATACAAAAACCAAAGAAGTCTGAAATCTTTGAAAAAATTCTAAATTTTCGTTTTTAGAAAAATGTCCCACCAAATATTGAAAATGCTTCGAAAAACTCCTGGCGGTATTTAAAAAAAAAAACGAAAAATGAGATGGTCACTTTTATGGAGCGATTTATGAAATTAACAAAATTTAAATTTGGAAAAAAATAATTTTCATTTTTGAAACAACCCTAGTAAAGATTCCAAAATCTCGAAAGGCAAGAGAAGAAAAAATTTAAACGACATTTTTCGACATTAAAAAAACGAAATTTTAGTTTTTGGAAAAATCCTACCGAATATTAAAAAATTTCGGTAAGTTATAAAAGCCGGGAAATGAGACCGATTATTATATAGAGCGGTTTATGAAATAGCAAAAATGGAGAGAAGTTATTTTATTGATTTTATTAATTTCGGAAAAAAATGAAAATTAAACTTTCTGATATCTTTAAAAACCCAAATTTTGGTTATATAATTTTAGTAAATGTTCTATATTTTCTTAAGCACCCAAATGACCTAGTATGTATCCATTCAATATGACTTTCATTAACAAGGTACAAAACTATTTGTCATGATTAAAGACTTCGGTGTTACGTTTAGTGCTCAAAAAAATTATATATTGTTATGAATTGGGTTATTTTTGCAGGAAAATAGTATTACTTGGGACGACATTACAAACAACAAACCTAATCACCACAAAAATATCCAGATCTACAAGTCCCAAAACGTCCACGTCGGAAACATAACCCACATCCATGGCCCCGTTTACGTAAACCAGTATGCATCGACAATAAACCAAAACATACTTATTAACAACAACAACAACAACAACAAAAGTAAGTTCCACATAACCACCCAAAACACCACATAATTTTTTCTCAGAAATTTTCCCCATAGTACCACGACGAACCTGGCTAGCCCAACCACCTCTAGAACCATCTGACGTAAAATACTTCACGGAACCCAGAAAACTCGTCATAATAAGTACTCCCCCAACCCCCCAAAAAACCAAACCTGACTAATAAATCACTTCCAGACCACTCCGCCAGCGAGGAAGCCTACACCCAAACCGAGAACAACCTTCTGATTCGCCTGATCCAGCAATTCCACGTGGAGAGCCGCAAATGGAACGACATCGGTTATAACTTCCTGGCGGGGGCCGACGGGAGCATCTACGAAGGGCGGGGCTGGGACGTGATAGGGGCCCACACTCTCGCCTACAATTCCGTTTCAATAGGGATATGTTTTGTGGGTTGTTACATAAAAACTTTGCCTCCCGACTTCGTTCTGAAGCGGGTCCAGGAGTTGATCAAATACGGGGTCGAAATAGGTGCCATTGCCGAGGATTACTCGTTGTTGGGATATTGCCAGTGCTGGAGCAGCGAGAGCCCTGGCAGTAGGCTGTTTGAGGAGCTTAAGACTTGGGAGCGGTGGGATGGGTCCATTAGTGTGGCCAACCCATCGCCGTTAATGATTACATGAGTTGTATTTTTGTATTTGCACGTATTGTGATTTTTACTCGTTTACACGCTTTATAAAGAGTTTTTGAGGAAGGGGGTTGTGATTTGTGTGGATCGAAATCAACGATTAGGGGATAAAATGATGTTCTAAGTCCCTGAAAACAGCTCAATCAGCCAAAAAAACTCAGAGCCATCATTGAACGGGGGTCGGAAGTGAGTTCTAGAGCTCGAAATATACAAGAAAATGTATTTAGTTAAGTTTCGAAAATGTCAAAAATTTTCAATTTTAAAAAGATGTCTAAAAATTATGAAAATATTCAGGGACGTAGATCTCGACACGCTGATTCCAAAAATATAGCATGTTGATGGTCATGAAGCAACACTTTCGAAAAAATCGCTGCGAAATGCGAATTTTTGATAATTTAAAAATTTCTGCATTTCAAAGGTCGATTCTGGAAAAACGGTTGCAGGTATCAAAAAATCCATGCGGATTTGAGTTCTTGAGTTCGTAATCTACAAGAAAATATATTTTGTTGAGTTTCGAAAATGTCAAAATTTTTGCGAAATTTGAAGAAGGGGGGACCATTAAAAAATTTCAATTTTAAAAAAGTTGTCTAAAAATTATGAAAATATTCAGAGACGTAGATCTCGACACGCTGATTCCAAAAATATAGCATGTTGATGGTCATGAAGCAACATTTTCGAAAAAATCGCTGCGAAATGCGAATTTTTGAAAATTTCAAAAATTTCTACATTTAAAAGGTCGATTCTGGAAAAATGGTTGCAGGTATCAAAAAATCGATGCCGGATTTGAGTTCTAGAGTTCGTAATCTACAAGAAAATGTATTTTGTTGAGTTTCGAAAATGTCAAAATTTTTGCGAAATTTGAAGAAGGGGGGACCATTAAAAAATTTCAATTTTAAAAAAGTTGTCTAAAAATTTTGAAAATATTCAGGGACGTAGATCTCGACACGCTGATTCCAAAAATATAGCATGTTGATGGTCATGAAGCAACAATTTCGAAAAAATCGCTGCGAAATGCGAATTTTTTATAATTTCAAAAATTTCGACATTTCAAAGGTCGATTCTGGAAAAACGGTTGCAGGTATCAAAAATCGATGCCGGATTTGAGTTCTAGAGTTCGTAATCTACAAGAAAATGTATTTTGTTGAGTTTCGAAAATGTCCAAATTTTTGCGAAATTTGAAGAAGGGGGGACCATTAAAAAATTTCAATTTTAAAAAAGTTGTCTAAAAATTATGAAAATATTCAGAGACGTAGATCTCGACACGCTGATTCCAAAAATATAGCATGTTGATGGTCATGAAGCAACATTTTCGAAAAAATCGCTGCGAAATGCGAATTTTTGAAAATTTCTAAAATTTCTACATTTCAAAGGTCGATTCTGGAAAAACGGTTGCAGGTATCAAAAAATCGATGCCGGATTTGGGTTCTAGAGTTCGTAATCTACAAGAAAATGTATTTTGTTGAGTTTCGAAAATGTCCAAATTTTTGCGAAATTTGAAGAAGGGGGGACCATTAAAAAATTTCAATTTTAAAAAAGTTGTCTAAAAATTATGAAAATATTCTGGGACGTAGATCTCGACACGCTGATTCCAAAAATATAGCATGTTGATGGTCATGAAGCAACATTTTCGAAAAAATCGCTGCGAAATGCGAATTTTTGATAATTTCAAAAATTTCGACATTTCAAAGGTCGATTCTGGAAAAACGGTTGCAGGTATCAAAAAATCGATGCCGGATTTGAGTTCTAGAGTTCGTAATCTACAAGAAAATGTATTTTGTCGAGTTTCGAAAATGTCAAAATTTTTGCGAAATTTGAAGAAGGGGGGACCATTAAAAAATTTCAATTTTAAAAAAGTTTTCTAAAAATTTTGAAAATATTCAGGGACGTAGATCTCGACACGCTGATTCCAAAAATATAGCATGTTGATGGTCATGAAGCAACAATTTCGAAAAAATCGCTGCGAAATGCGAATTTTTTATAATTTCAAAAATTTCGACATTTCAAAGGTCGATTCTGGAAAAACGGTTGCAGGTATCAAAAAATCGATGCCGGATTTGAGTTCTAGAGTTCGTAATCTACAAGAAAATGTATTTTGTTGAGTTTCGAAAATGTCCAAATTTTTGCGAAATTTGAAGAAGGGGGGACCATTAAAAAATTTCAATTTTAAAAAAGTTGTCTAAAAGTTATGAAAATATTCTGGGACGTAGATCTCGACACGCTGATTCCAAAAATATAGCATGTTGATGGTCATGAAGCAACATTTTCGAAAAAATCGCTGCGAAATGCGAATTTTTGATAATTTCAAAAATTTCGACATTTCAAAGGTCGATTCTGGAAAAACGGTTGCAGGTATCAAAAAATCGATGCCGGATTTGAGTTCTAGAGTTCGTAATCTACAAGAAAATGTATTTTGTTGAGTTTCGAAAATGTCCAAATTTTTGCGAAATTTGAAGAAGGGGGGACCATTAAAAAATTTCAATTTTAAAAAAGTTGTCTAAAAATTATGAAAATATTCAGGGACGTAGATCTCGACACGCTGATTCCAAAAATATAGCATGTTGATGGTCACGAAGCAACATTTTCGAAAAAATCGCTGCGAAATGCGAATTTTTGAAAATTTCAAAATTTCGATACTTCAACGGTCGATTCTGGCAAAACGATTGCAGGTATCAAAAAATCGATGCCGGATTTGAGTTCTAGAGGTCGAAGTCTACAAGAAAATGAATTTAGTTGAGTTTCGAAAATGTCAAAATTTTTGCGAAATTTGAAGACCATTAAAACATTTCAATTTTAATAAAGTTGTCTAAAAATTATGAAAATATTCAGAGACGTAGATCTCGACACGCTGATTCCAAAAATATAGCATGTTGATGGTCATGAAGCAACATTTTCGAAAAAATCGCTGCGAAATGCGAATTTTTGAAAATTTCAAAAATTTCTACATTTCAAAGGTCGATTCTGGCAAAACGGTTGCAGGTATCAAAAAATCGATGCCGGATTTGAGTTCTAGAGTTCGTAATCTACAAGAAAATGTATTTTGTTGAGTTTCGAAAATGTCAAAATTTTTGCGAAATTTGAAGAAGGGGGGACCATTAAAAAATTTCAATTTTAAAAAAGTTTTCTAAAAATTTTGAAAATATTCAGGGACGTAGATCTCGACACGCTGATTCCAAAAATATAGCATGTTGATGGTCATGAAGCAACATTTTCGAAAAAATCGCTGCGAAATGCGAATTTTTGATAATTTCAAAAATTTCGACATTTCAAAGGTCGATTCTGGAAAAACGGTTGCAGGTATCAAAAAATCGATGCCGGATTTGAGTTCTAGAGTTCGTAATCTACAAGAAAATGTATTTTGTTGAGTTTCGAAAATGTCAAAATTTTTGCGAAATTTGAAGAAGGGGGGACCATTAAAAAATTTCAATTTTAAAAAAGTTTTCTAAAAATTTTGAAAATATTCAGGGACGTAGATCTCGACACGCTGATTCCAAAAATATAGCATGTTGATGGTCATGAAGCAACAATTTCGAAAAAATCGCTGCGAAATGCGAATTTTTTATAATTTCAAAAATTTCGACATTTCAAAGGTCGATTCTGGAAAAACGGTTGCAGGTATCAAAAAATCGATGCCGGATTTGAGTTCTAGAGTTCGTAATCTACAAGAAAATGTATTTTGTTGAGTTTCGAAAATGTCCAAATTTTTGCGAAATTTGAAGAAGGGGGGACCATTAAAAAATTTCAATTTTAAAAAAGTTGTCTAAAAATTATGAAAATATTCTGGGACGTAGATCTCGACACGCTGATTCCAAAAATATAGCATGTTGATGGTCATGAAGCAACATTTTCGAAAAAATCGCTGCGAAATGCGAATTTTTGATAATTTCAAAAATTTCGACATTTCAAAGGTCGATTCTGGAAAAACGGTTGCAGGTATCAAAAAATCGATGCCGGATTTGAGTTCTAGAGTTCGTAATCTACAAGAAAATGTATTTTGTTGAGTTTCGAAAATGTCCAAATTTTTGCGAAATTTGAAGAAGGGGGGACCATTAAAAAATTTCAATTTTAAAAAAGTTGTCTAAAAATTATGAAAATATTCAGGGACGTAGATCTCGACACGCTGATTCCAAAAATATAGCATGTTGATGGTCACGAAGCAACATTTTCGAAAAAATCGCTGCGAAATGCGAATTTTTGAAAATTTCAAAATTTCGATACTTCAACGGTCGATTCTGGCAAAACGATTGCAGGTATCAAAAAATCGATGCCGGACTTGAGTTCTAGAGGTCGAAGTCTACAAGAAAATGAATTTAGTTGAGTTTCGAAAATGTCAAAATTTTTGCGAAATTTGAAGACCATTAAAAAATTTCAATTTTAATAAAGTTGTCTAAAAATTATGAAAATATTCAGGGACGTAGATCTCGACACGCTGATTCCAAAAATATAGCATGTTGATGGTCATGAATCAACATTTTCGAAAAAATCGCTACGAAATGGGAATTTTTGAAAATTTCAAAAATTTCGATTTTTCAAAGATCGATTCTGGAAAAACGGTTGCAGGTATCAAAAAATCGATACCGGATTTAAGTTCTAGAGGTCGAAATCTACAAGAAAATGTATTTACTTAGTTGAGTTTCGGAAATGTCAAAATTTTTGCGAAATTTGAGGAAGGGGGACCATTAAAAAATTTCAATTTTAAAAAAGTTGTCCAAAAATTGTGAAAAAATTCAGAGACGTAGATCTCGACACGCTGATTCCAAAAATATAGCATGTTGATGGTCACGAAGCAACATTTTCGAAAAAATCGCTGCGAAATGCGAATTTTTGAAAATTTCCAAATTTCGATTTTTCAACGGTCGATTCTGGAAAAACGGTTGCAGGTATCAAAAAACCGATGCCGGATTTAAGTTCTAGAGGTCGAAATCTACAAGAAAATGTGTTTAGTTGAGCTTTGGAAATGTCAAAATTTTTGCGAAATGTGAAGAAGGGGGGACCATTAAAAAATTTCAAATTTAAAAAAGTTGTCAAGAAATTATGAAAAAATTCAGAGACGTAGATCTCGACACGCT